TTGTGTAGGTACTACCAGGCGCTGATCCAGGATTTCTTAGGAGGGCGGCCCAAATTTGAAATTATGCGAGCCAAATATTGGTACGTAATGGTGACATCGGAAGTGGCAAAAAGAGCAAAAACCTTTGGGGGGGCAGGCAAACAAATCCACATCACCCCACTTTTGCGTGGGGTCCACGGGGCGAAGCCCCCAGAACCCCAGGGGTTTTTATACATTTAATTATCGTCAGATGAGCATATTTTGATACTTTATTGGTGACACTCGCAGGTCACGAATTGGTGGGGGTACAGGGGGGCGGAGCCCCCGGAAGCTCAGGGGCTTAAGGCAATAAATTAAGATCAGATGAGCTTATTTTTATACCTTATTTGTGACAATGGCAGGATATATTTTATACCTTATCTGTGACCCTGGCAGGTCCCGAATTGGCGTGGGGTCTAAGGGGCGGAGCCCCCGGAAGCTCAGGGGTCTGGGGCAATAAATTACGGTCAGATGAGCATATTTTTATACCTTTTTGTGACACTGGCAGGACACACATTGGCGTTGGGTCCAGGGGGCGGAGCCCCCAGGAGCTCAGGGGTTTTATACATTAAATTATTGTCAGATGAACATATGTTATACCTTATTTGTGACGCTGGCAGGACACAAATTCGTGTTGGGTCCAGGAGGCGGAGCCCCCGGAGGCTCAGAGGAGTTAGGCAATAGTGTTAGGTCAGATGAGCATCCAGGGGCCCGCCTTAGGGCCATTGGTTGGGTTCGGGGTGGGGGGGGGGGCAGAGCCCCGGAAGCTTGGGCTTGGCATTTAATTACATCAGATGAGCATATAGATGAGCTTATTTGTGACACTGGCAGGTCATTAATTGGCGTGAGGTCCAGGGGGCCGAGACCCCAGAAGCACAGGGGTTATAAGCATTAAATTACTTTCAGGTTAGCATCCATCCGTCCGCTTTAGGGCCCTGGGTGGGGTCCAGGGGGCAGGGCCACCTCAAGTCAAGGGGTCTTAGGCATTTAATTGCGGTCAGATAAGCATATTTTGATACCTTATTTGAGGCACTTGTAGGTTACTAATTGGTGTGGGGTCCAGGGGGCGGAGCCCCAAAGAGCTCAGGGGTTTTAGGCATTAAATTACTGTCAGATGAGCATCCAGGTGCCTGACTTTGGGCCCTAGGTGAAATCCAGGGGGCAGAGCCCCGGGAGCTCAGGTTTTTTTTTTTTTTTTTTTTTTTTTGGGGGGGGGGGGGGCCGGAAATTACATCGTCAGATATTTCGTTCAGTCGCTTTCCCCTTCTTTTTTACCTTTTGTTTCCCTGCCAGGGGTGGGGCAGGTCTCCCACCCCTGCCCCCCCCCCCTGCCCCCTGGATCCGCCACTGGGGGGAGGCACAGGCCTTTCGGCCCCCGATTCACACATTGTTGGCGGGATTAATCGCAACTGTTCTCCCCTTCTTTTCTTCTTCCTCTTTTTTGTTCCTTTTAAGCTCTCCTCTTTCCCTTTCCCTTCCTTTCCCCCTTGGGGGGTGGTGGGGGAGCCAAGGGCCTTTTGGCGGGAAAATTGCAGGGGGTATCCCCCTTCTTTTCTTTTCTTCTTCCTCTTTTTTCTTCTCTTTATTTCCTTTTTTCCTTTTTTTTCACTTTCCTTCCTTCTCTCTTATTTTTTGATGGGGGGGGGGGGGTAAAAGCCGGGAGGCAAGGCCCTTTCCCCCCCCCCCCTCCCCGATCTCCTTCTTCCCCCTTTCTTTTCTTCTTTCTCTTTTTTCTTTTCCTTTCTCTTATCTTTCCCTTCCCCTTTTTTTCGTTTCCTCTCTCTCTCTCTCTTTTTACGGGGGGGGGGGGGCAAGGTCCGCCCCCCCCCCTGGATCCGTGCCTGGGTACTACAAAGCTTGCATAATGCCTGTATTGGAATATGCATGTCAAGTCTTTTACAAGGGCCTAACCAAACAGCAATCTAATTTATTGGAATCAATACAAAAACGTGCCCTGAGAATAATCACCCCAAACCTACCTTATATCGACACTTTGAATGTGCTGAACATTGATTCCCTAGGTGATCGTAGAAATAATATGTGCTTGTAATTATTATTCAACCAAATACAGAAACCAGAAGACAAACTAAATTACCTTCTCCCACCAAAACGAGAGACAAAATATAACCTGAGGAGAAGTAAACAAGCGAGTCTGCCCAGGTGTAAAACAAACCGATTTAAGAATAGTTTTATCCCTTGGTGTGTGTATGTATAGTTTACAATAAGCAGGTGATTAGTGCAATATACATTTTCAACCATTCCATATTCTTTTGAACTTGTACCCCGACACATGCAGCTAATTTTTAATTATATGTTATCTTTGTTGCAGAGTAATTTGGAATAATTATACAGTACATGTAGTTATTTGTTTATACCCATACGGTGACGTTCTTTATAATTATATTATCTATTTTTATATTTGGATGTAGGGTTTAATTGATTGATCATTGAAGCTTTTTTCACTTCCTTACTTTCTTTTCTTTTTCCCTCTCTTGCTCTCTTTTCTTCTCTATTAAAGTTTATGTTGTTTCCTTTTTTCTTGTAATTATTTACTTGTAATATGATATAGCATCGTTTATCCATTCATGAATGAACCTGCATTCAATCAGCAGATGTATGAGATTTATTGTATTATTACCAACGCTCCTTCTCTCCCTTTCCTTTTCTTCTCTGCAAGTCACTCTTTTTTCTTTTCTTTTTTATTTTTGTATCTAAGTTGAGGGCTGCGGGCACGTCAAGTTACTTTGCTCATTTCTGTAGCCCTCCTGCATCTAATGTATGTTAATTATGAATTCAATATATTTGTTTAATTTCGTTTATTATCTGTATAAAATTATATACACTTAAAATATTGTATCAAACCATATTATGTTTATGAATACGTATGACAAAAAAAAAAAAAAAGATGCAGCAACCAATAAATCAAATCAAATCAAATCAAATTTGTAATATTCTTTGTATTAAAGATTTACATGGATTTATACTCATAATTTATCAATTTCATTGTACACAATTGAAAAGGTATGTATTATATCAAATCAACCCTTTGGTTGCTTCAAATAAATAAACGAATATAAAAATATATCGACAATTCAATTGTGTGTAAAAAGGGAAAGGAATTTATGCTTTGATAATTTTCAGCATATTATTTATAACAAAGAAAAACATTCATTACAAAATGTATAATAAAAGGGACCATAATTTTTGTTTTCTAGTCCCTCTAAGACTTGATAAGATGCACAAAATATTGAAATAACGACCAAAAATAAACGATAGTTTTATCTACAAAATGCATTACATTTCTTGTACGAAGTCAATTGGAGTAGGGTGGCGAATCTGCCACTAGCGCAAAGTCGGTGATCCGACATTTGCTCTTGGCTGCTTTTTCGTCAAAGATACAGGGTTTAGAGTTGAAAATAGGTTTATGTTGGGTCTACGGCAAGCAAGATTCAGGGTAAGGTATGGTATTTGATCCGGGGTCAATGTTAGGAATTTGATTTAATGTGTATGAAATTGTATGCGGAAAATGTGCCCCCAGAGCATGTGTCGTACAACTGCAAAAGATTTTCATTGCCTCCCCCCCCCCCCCCCTTCTTGTCTAATTGTTTTTTCTATTCAATTTGTTAAGAATGTAGTATTTTTTCAACGAGAAAGTGACACCCTTTGGAAAATATTATTTTAGATTATAAACAGGCTCTTGAAATAGTCACTGTGTAAAAATTGTTATTGTAAGCTTTATTCATGAAATTGAAGGACAATTATTTTTGCAACCATCAATGATTTCATAAAAGAAAAAAAATTGATACAATCATTGTTTTTTTCTTTAATAAAATCATCTTTATTCAATATTGCTTTCGACTTTAAAAAACATTAAAAAACATATATGAATATACATACATAATATAACCAATAGAATCAACAACAAGAATATAGCTGATTATACAAGATAATTTTTTTTTTTTAATTTTTTTTTTAAAGCAACACAATGTTTTTCCACCTATTATCAAATGATACAAATTTGTTATTTTTAACATAAATGTATTGTTCAAGAGAACGATAATACCTTAACATGCATTTAAAAGAATTTAGTGAGAGTACGCTATTTTTGCATTTGTTGGAAAATATATAGTATTTGTCATATAAAATAACAAAATTAAATTAAAACTCCAACGTTTCCATAAAACCCAAATATGAAATTAATTGTATTCAAAGTAACTTTATCCTCTAAAATGAAATGTTGGACATCCGCAATAAACATTCTAATGATTGGGCAATCCCAAAATAGATGTTCTATAGATTCCACGGAGCTATAACAAAATGAACATAGGTCTGACTGCGAAATATTTAATCATTTAAGATATTTATTAACACCAACTATATGATGTATTATCTTAAACTGAAAATAACAGATCCGTGTAGATAAACATGACCTAACGGGAACTAAGAAAATTTTACCCCAGTCTATGTTTGGGATATTAAACAGAGAATTCCATTTATCTATTGATTTAGGGGGACTAAAAACCTGTTGAACACTTAAATTATGAATATAGCGACATATCTTCGCTATCTTCATTATATTTTTAATCATTTCCTCTTGAGCTGTTAGGTCTGCCTCTGAACCTTGAGGGATATTATTTTTCCAATTATGGGGAATAATGATAATATCATGCTAAAAATTTCAACTTTATGAATTCAAGAAATAAGTTGAACACATTATTGGTTAGGCAAGACATGGTTTTAAACTTAAAATAAGCTGATCTATAATGAATTTATTTCTTTGTATGAATACATGATAATTGTCTATTTATGTAACAATACCATGAAAATATCACAAATCTTTGTTGCTAGGGGCACTAACAAATTATACCCCCCCCCCCCCCTCGAATCAGATACAGGCATTAAGGACTTGACCGTAAGTGGGTTAGATTAATAATAATTTCATGATTAAGTCTACATGATATCTCATAAATAATTTAAAAAAATTTAATGGATTTTATCTCATTTTCTTTCAAATATCATTCAAATTGCAACAATAAGGACGATATGGTATAAAAAAATCACCTTGAATGCACAATACACAGTATAATTTATATATGTTGGACTAATATACAAATACTGAATACATTTGTATGTATTAAATGTCATTTATGTTAAATCTATTGCAAAATGAACTTAGTAGCATCAGTTTTTAAGATGGACAAACCAATGTTGAAGTGTACTTCACAATTTCATTCAATTTTGAAATATATTCATATTTACTACAAAGGAGTAGGGTGCCTGACCTCCCTATGATAACAAACATTTAACTGAATCATACTTTAAAACTCACATTGATAACCGTGTTATTGCCCTCCTTACTTTGTATGTGTTTCCTTTGGGGAAGACACCAGATTCGATGGAGCGTTAATACACAAAATATGTTATATCTTGACATGTAAATATACTTCACCTATACATAACATTGGCCTGACACAAAAAGATGTATTCACTTGGACAAGAAATGCAATAAATATTGGCACTTACATAGTGCTCTTACAAGTCATAGCATGTAACAAACATATTACAAATATAGTATCTTTATATAAATTACATGTAATTATGAACATAAAAATGAGAACTTTCCTACAGGGACTATTGAAATGCAGGGGACAATGGTGAATCCGTATGTACTGGGATATATTGTTCCATACATGCCGTGCTATAGAGGAGAAGGATTGTCTCTTTTATGTGTCTGAGTCCAGAGCATTAATTGAGAGCAGTCTTGTGGAGACGTGTGTAGAAAATTGTAAAGAATTTTTGAGTGATGCATTTTTTTTTAAGGAAGCCAGAAATAGGAGAGACAGAATGTTTCTTTGCAAGAAGAAACAACTTTGCTACTTACTTCTAACCACGTTGTAGCCGTTAGAAATCAATAATGAAGTGCCACATAAAACACAGTCTACCATTTAGACAACTGAAAACATAGCTCTAATTACTCGTTTATCATTATATTTTATTTTCTTTACTATGGTGCCCAAACTGCCCATAATATAGGTTTAGTATGGGAAGGTGGGTATCTGAGTTAGAAATTGTCATTATGTATTTAATACAGTCAAAGGAATTTCTAGACCATCTTCCCATGAGTATTTCTATAAATGCTATCAAGTTAAAGCCGTTTTTATGCGTGACTAGGATACTCATTAACTTATAATGATGTCATTAGTGATAACAATGGCACTGGGGGGATGTCCAGTAATATAAGGAACACTCAGAAGTTTTAAAGAGGCCATTGACCTATGTTTTGATTCTTTTCAGTACAGATGTTTCTTGGTAACCATCTGCTTGATAGCCACTGTTTCCAAGTTCAATATATGGTTAATAGATCTGGTTCAAGATCAACCTATAGGAATTTGTCATTTTCAACACTTTCATGCAAATCTTACTCTCCCTCAGTTCTTATGCAATAAAATAAGCTTTCTATCTTCAAACAAGAATGAGCAAAATTTATTTCCATGTACAATCTTGTGGTTTATTCATTAAAAAAAAATCAATTATAGCCCCAGAAGATGGGTAAAACCAAAGGAATGCCAACATAAAAGCCTTGGACCTTCTAATATTGCTCACAAATGTATTATTGCACTTTTGAACCAAGCCAATTTTCAACTGAACTAAAATCCCCAAATCACAAATGGGACATCAGGGCAAATAAAACTTCAGAGACTTACAAATAACACAGTCCATGTCTAATCTTGTTGAATCATAAAATCAGTTCATGATATTAACAAATTTAATTGAAATGAAAGAAATATATTTAAAAAATCATCAAATTTTTAATTTCATTCATTTCAAGAAAAATATGTGAGAGAATAAAAGCATGTTTGTGCATAATAAATACATGTACAAATAATTAATCTGAATAGATACATTCAGAAAAAATGACATGAAGAGACCACATTTAAAAGAGAAAGTAGAGACTGACAGATAGATCTAAAGTAAAGAAATCTAGAGTCTATCAGTATACTGCCTTCAAGCTCCCATATCATTGGACATATCTTTTTCCATGATCCTCACAATGTCCCATCGCTGTCCTTTGGCTGCCCATTCATATAGCTTGCCTACTGTTGCTTCATTGCGTGTTCGCCATGTCTGTAACACCGCCATACCTGGGAGATCCTTCTTTGCAAAGAGTTCTATTGACTCAGAGCACCCAATATCACTTGCCAAGCCTTGCCAGTCATGCAAATCTATCAATAAAAGATAATATTATATCAATGATGAATAGTAACTACAGGATGACAGATGCAGTATGCAGTGTCTCACTGAAACTTTGTTTATGGTCAGTATCTGCATGGTCACTTTAGTGCATTATTCATTGGAATTAACTTTCACTGCACTGCGAGGCTCCTCCCCTAGAATCAGAAGATGCTTTCTTTGAAATTTTACATCTCTGTCAACATCAACTTAATTCAAATCTAACATACTGTATCATATTCATATGATAATCAAATAATAGTAATCTCAGCTTCTAAATCTGCAAGCGTTCATATTTTTTGTTTTTGTTTTGCTTTTTGTTCTATGACAGGAAGAATCAAAAGGAGCCAATCACCAAGTGTATCTATACAAGCACAGATGCTATCCAGGGCTCCCAAGTAAAATCTACAATACTGAGATCTTCATTTTACTCTATGAGACACTGTGAATTTTGAAAATCACTACGATACTCCAAGATGTAAACAAAAACTCTTGTCATGTAATGGAATCAAGTCTCTTTCCTATCCTCATTTCATCTACATCTTCAAGCACAAAATTTATGCAAAACCTAAATGTAAAATATCTTTGACATATTGTTATGAGCTGACTTTGTAGGCAGATAAAACCTTGTGAACAGAGTTTAATAACTATTCATTTATAAATTACCCAGATGTTTCATCATAAAGGAACTACCTACCATTTGGTTGGGACTTGGACAGTTCTTTTCCAATGTTACTTTGAGTTCTGTAGTTTAGATCACGAATGTATATCTTCCTATCCATGCTGGGGCCTACAAAAAAAGGCATCCATGGTTTAAGAGAAAAGAGAAATGGAATGTGGTATTATTATTTGCATGTAGTAAAATGATTAAAATCACTTTATTAAGACGATTCAACGAGTTTTCTTGAACAAATTCATGAAGGGTAATGTGGGTTACTTCACAGAAATTTTTGTATATCTGACCCAATAACATGTACATACTAGGCCTACATAGTGTAATGAATTACACCTCACACAGATATACACCAGGATAATACACTGCTACAGGCCTACGGTGGGCATGTTGAGGAGGGTCCCCGTCAAAAATTATATGTAAAGTTAAAACTTTAACTATAATATATAACACATATTTTATCATATATAGCTTGAAAGAAGAAATAATTTAAGTTGACGTTCTTCATACAATGTCCTAGCATGAACACATTAATAATCAATCCTAAATGATTTTGGATTGAATGGACCCTATCAAAAGATTAAGCTGCTCACATTTAACCAAGATTTTAGGGCAGAATACTACTTACAGGGAGAACGATTGTGAAATGGGTTCTCTCTTCCAGTCTGTCTGGGAATATTGTGATTTTGATCGCAAATATCTTATGCCATTTCCTTACTTTCTTCTAAAAGGTGTAATTAAAAGTTTGAGGTTTAGCTTTTATCTTATATAAAATTTTGAGATTTTAATTATTCAGAATAGTCGTAGGGAAACGAAACATTATTTACTCACCTATCGCTCCACTGTGCAGGTAGGATATGAGAACTTTGCGAATATCTTTCCTATTCAATTTGCACAGCATCTTGCCAAGTATCATCATAATTGGGGATTGGTCCATGCTCTGTGTTGCTGATAATCTTCTCACCAATTCATTGAGAACAGGTATTACGTTCCCTGCCCTGCATGCCTGCCATAAGGAAAGAGTAATACCAATTCAATAAGTACATTGTATTGCCTGCCAGACACGTACGCAGGGGGGGGGGGGGGTTGGGGTTGAACTCCCCCCTCAATTTCTTTCTATGTTTGTGTTATCGAGGAGCCCCCCCCCCCCCCTACTGAACGAAATAACGGTTGGCATAATTTTCTGTGAAAAAAAATTTAAATATGTGCTTTTACTCACAGGCTGGTTGAGTCGTTGCGAAATTTTTCCTCAAAAACTGGTAAAAAAAAAAAAAAAAAAGTGCTTAATCAGCGGCTGGCTGAGTCGTTAGGAAAATTTCAGTGCGATTTTCGAATTTTAAACCCCCCCCCCCCTCAAAAAAATCCTGTGTACGCTACTGTTGCCTGCCACACATGTCGAACACAATGAAAGAGTAATATCCATTCTTAAGGAACATCCCTGCCCCTCTTGCCTATATTGGTGATACAATAAACTTTGTTCTAGTATATATGTATCTTCAACCAAATTCTTTTGAAGGACTTCTGAGGGTTTAAGTCTGGAACTCAATGAAAGATTAGAATTTATAAAGCAACTTGAAAGGCATTGTCTAGGTAGTCTTATTAGTGAAGAAAAAAAATTACTCATGTTTCTTTAAGAATACACCCTCTAGTATAGCTTGCTCTGCTTTTAAAAAAAATGAAATCATGAAACCCAAGATACCAGCAAAATGGTGGCAATATGAATATTGTCTATACTGCGAATCTTACAGTATTATTTTCTAATCATGTATTTCCTTGTGGAATTATTTGATAAATGTTTATGATCCTTATTATCATTTACTAACCAGTACATTGAATATAACTTAATCAATCACAATCATCATTTACACACGGGTGGCCAACCTGCGGCCCGCGGGCCACATGCGGCCCACGAGCTCTTCTTGTGCGGCCCGCGGAGCATTGAAAAAGTAATTATAAAAATAGTTAATGAATGAAATGCGGCCCGCATAACAGCGATGAAATAGAGTAAAACATTTACACACAGCTATCTCTATTTCCATAATTTGTTTTCATCAATCACAACATATTGATTCGTTACGTGGCTTATACAAAACTCCTTAAATTAAATTCCCTCTCATTACTTTACATTAACGACATTAACATCACTCGCCGTGTTAATTTCAGTTTGTTATTTCCACATGCAGTAACCTTTGTAAATATACAAATAATAACAATAATAATAATCTTTTAAAATCCACTCCAAATTTTATTAAGTTAAACCGAAAATGAAAATTCTTTTGCCCAATCGATCGTGAATCAAGAAATATGTTTGAAATGCCATACTTGTCTTAAAACTTACAACCCTTTTCTCCCGCCGTTTAATTTTTTCATTAATCTTAATCGTGGATAGTCCCCTTATATTCTTTCTGCTGTGTCATTGATTTTGTTTGAAATAACAACCAACATGGCATCGATTTCGAGACGTGCGAAGAAAAGGAAAGTTTCTGATGAAGACAGAAACTTTAAATAGGATTGATCTCTGAAGTATTTCTTCATAGAAGAGAAAGGTAAACAACTTTGCCTCATATTTTGTCAGCCAGAAATCACACTAAAAAAGTAAGCCTGATTTTGTTCGACTGATTTTGTTGTTTGCAAAATTGCAGGTGTGTACATGAGTGTGTGTGTCTGTGGGGGGGGGGGGGGATTTCATATTTGGTTTTGACGGGGTGTGCCGCTGAAGCCTCGTAACCTCTACCCATTTTTAAGGGTTGCCTTGTTTTGGCAGATTTTTGTTGAAAGTAAAGCCCATTTTATAAAAATTTCGGGTGTTTGCATGGCTAAAACCCTGAATTTTTTTTAAATAAATTTTTTGAAAACACGGACCCATATTTAGGACATTTCTGTTAAAAATGGGACCCAAGTTTAGGGATTCTTTTTGTAAAAAAGGTTACCCATTAGAGCGGCACACCCCGTATGTCTCAATATGTGATTAACCCCCCCCCCCCCCCCCCACCCCCCGCCTGGCCTACGGCCCGCCAAGTTTTGACAATCGTTAGATGTGGCCCGCGAGCTTTAAAAGGTTGGCCACCCGTGATTTACACCAACATCATTCATATAACTCAAAATAATAGTCTTTACCTTCAAGAATTCTTCTCTCTGAGACTCATTCTGAAAGATTTTTCTCCTTGTGATTTTTTGTAGTTGGTCACTGGTAAAATCGTCACATTCAATGAGCTCCTGGTCTAAGTCTTCTAGACATGTCGGGTGTCTCAGATGAGGCCATAGTATGACATGAAGGGGTGATGCACTAGAAGGGCAAGCTGGAGCTATCAAGATCAAAAGAGATTAAAACAAAACTTGTACAGGTTAGTCTCATATCACACAGATAGCAATAACTATAACTTTAACTATAAAATTGGGTTGTCAAAGTTTACATGGACCCTGCATAAAACAAATTATGTCTCACCTGGCTATGTGTATTGGTATTCAAATTCAAATTCATCTATTAACATAGATCACATTAAAAAAAAATATTTTAAATAAGACTTTTTTTGGAAGAAAAAAAAGACATGACTTTAATCACCCGTCAGACATGTGTTATAAATGTTACATGTACCGGTCAAGGTTTTTCAACGTGTTATTCTGAAAAGTTGTGTTGAATTATGTCTCTCACTAGCTGTTGGTCTCGTGGAAATTGTTTAGCTCATAAGCATCAATTACTAATTCCCAATCTATTCCCTTTCCACCAAATAACTTTGATCTATCAAAACATTGTAAGAATTTAGAAATGTTAGGCTGTATTCATCTTACAAACACATACTTACGGCTGGAAGGTGCATCAGCAGCATCAAAGTGAACTACTTCTGGACTTCTTGGAGACAAAGGTGATACTAGAGGAGGTGAAAAATCAAACACCCAGATAAACATAGAGAACAAAATATATATTATTTTTTAATAAAGTGAAAGATATCAGTGAAATGTTTATCAATTTGTGTATAAAGTTATTGTGAATCCTTGCGAGATACAAATTCACTTGCACATGGATCCTTCCTAACTCCTTCCTCACTACTTCCTCAAACTATCATCATTCAAGTATGCATGTTATTTCTATAATTCATTTATTAGTTTCACACAAAAAAGTGCAGGGTAATTTGTTCAGTTGTACCTAGTTTTCCATTTGGCCTGTTAAAACACTACAAACATACAAATATATGAACAAAACAAGGGAAACGATCTCGGCGGTCTCGCCTGCATTACGCAATTCAATATGATGAAAAATTGAGGTAGGGACATTATTTATAGGCAGGGTGGCCCATTAGCAGGCCCCTAAAAAAAGAAATCCTCCAAATTTAATCAGCATTTTGAAGTGAATATTGACTAAGAATCATCAGAAGAATTATTTACTATTGTTTGTACCAAGATTGATAACTTTCATGAAATATGAACAAATAACAAAAATTGATTGATCAATTCTCATATTAAGTTGTGAAAAATATAATCCTAGTCTACTGACCTAAAATGATGTTTGACCTTGACTTTGTGACCTAAGATTTGTGTCATATGATTCGTGATACTTGATAACCCTTGGGTACAAGTTTTACGGAATAGGAATGTATACTTTCAAAATTAGGATAAAAATTCAAAATCTTAACCCGATGCCACAACATAGTCTAAGTTTGATGACCGGAAATGACCTTTGACCTTGACTTAGTGACCTGAAATTCTGCTCACATGGGATAATTGATAACCCTTTAGTCTAAGTTTCATTGAATAATAGATTATACTTTCAAGATTATATTAAAAATTCCAAAACTTAGCCTCAGGTTAAGTTTTGGATGATGATTCCACAACAAAGTCTAAGTTTGTTGACCTTAAATGACCTTTACTTTGTGACCTGAAATTCTCCTCACATGATTGGGGATACTTGATAACCCTATAGTCCAAGTTTCATTAAATAAGAACTTGTACATTAAAAATTATATTAAAAATTCAAAAACTTTTTAATGTTTGATGCCGCCGCCAGTAAAAAAAGCGGCGCCTATGTCTCGCTATTTGCTACGCAGGTGAGACAAAAAATGTTTTGTTCAATAGGGTGAAATTTTTCAGTTGAAATTGGATCTGGCTTTCCATAACACTTTATTAGAGAAACAGAAGTTCCCCTGTACAGATGTACACCAAATTTGCTTCTATGTTTGAATGTACTTGTTGACTAAAATACCTTCACAGATTAATCATCAATACTCAAAGAGATTACAATTTCATTGACATAGAGAATAAGAAAATATATATTGCCTATATCAGGTTGTCAAACAATACAACCAAAAAACACTATGGTATATGATTTGCTGTTGTATCTGTACATATTATTTGTTTAAAGTTGCACTTGCAATAAATTTTGAAGAAATTCAATCCTGAACCTTATAAATATAAATATATGATATATTTAGGTGGTTTTATGGTAACATTGATTTCAATCAGAAAATGTGTTTCTGAAGATTCAGATGTACCCATAAAATAAGGAATGGGGACCAGGAGTTATGGGAAGTTATTGATATGGAGACTAAAATGAGTATCTTACCTGGTGGAGGCACTGGATCGTCAAGTTGACCTTCACACACACAAAAAAGGATCAAAATGTTTGAACGTAATTGAATGGGATGTGGAAGTTAATCATAGTATTTGAAAGATTATGAGTGTTTGAACACACCAATTACAAAACAACAGCAAATTCACAGGTAAGTAGTGTTTCTAAGAGAAAATTATTATTAATTGTTTTAAGCCTACTTTAGTAACTCAATATTCACTATTAAATCCATATGCTTTTGTATGAAAGTGCACATTTGAACACAGAGATAAAAACACAATTTGGCCTTATCCTTACATTCTGCAATGGTTATGCGCATAATTGTCTTATCCGTTGCATATTTAAATGTGTATTCACTTTTGATTCCTTTCCTCCAAACTATGAGATGATAGAAAATATCACATGATCATCCACCTACTTTTGTGCAAAGTGTAAGATATACCAATTTACTGGTGAGCAAAAGATCCTTCACCTTCATACAAATAAAATTGTTGTATATTGAATGTAAAATTACTGAATATTCAATAATAAAAATTGTGAAGTACATTGAGTTTGTTTCCAATGAAGATGTTTTTGCCTAACCGACTATAAAGCATGGAATGAAAACTCAAAATTGGAACACTGAAAATTAATGTAGTAAATGTTCATAAACTTAGTCCAAAAGTGGGGCTTAGGAACCTGGGGCCAATTCATGAAACCATCGTAAGTCTTAAGTCTTGGTTATTCAGTAGAATCATGTGTTAACACTTAACACACATATTTTTTGGATGTCCGATTCCATGAACATAAAGTTATGATGGTTTTGAGAATTGAGAAACTGGCCTCAGATGTATGAAGCAACTAAAACAAAATAAAATCATACCAATTTGTTGGAGCAGTTGATGCAGATTGTGAGACACACAAAAATCTTCAGCAACATTTCGAAGATTACATTTCAACAATCCTTTAATAAGTGCCCCAACTGTTGCTTTCTGCCCCTTGTTTTCCATCCATTTTTTCAGTCCCTGTATGCAGCATTCCTTGGGATCATGGTGTGCATAATAGATGTTTTCCACATCAGTGTCAGGTACACTTAAATGTCGCAGAACATGTTTGATATTATTTCCTGAGACTTTATCAGACAAGTAAAGCTTGTGTTCCATGGTGACTGGTAGATCCTCCTGTCAATAAAAACAATACCATGATAATGAAAAAAATACATGAAACTATGATGGCTTCTGAATTACTAAGAAATATATATTGCCAGATGGGCCGTATGGTGAAGAGAAAAATATTTCAGGTGAAGACAATTTCATATTTTACATTGAAATGGAAAGCACTTAATTCATTCAATCATATATGTTAAAAATATTGAAATTTAGCTACACGCTACATATAATCTGACATTAAAATGAATTCAATAAATTTTCTTGATAAAATTCTTTTTTCTTAAAAATATTACCTTTAATCCTAAATTGTTTTATCAACAAGCTGTGATCCACTCAAATTAATTAGTGAGAATAACATACCTCAGTGGAGATCTTCTCTGAAGATACCGGTAACTCACTTCCTGGTCCAGTTTTACAATTGCTGCATAGGTTCCTTTTAGAATGAAGTTCCTGTAGCGTATTGCATTCCTTCCTCATCTCCTCATATTTCCGTTTCCAGTCCTCACCTTCATCTGGCACAGTTCTTTGTGGCTGACTTAATCCTCCTTCCAACACTACACCATTTCCCTATAAAAAAAATATGATAGAACAACATTTTCTGCTGATGATGACTTTTTAAATGAATAACCTCAAACTATTTCAATAGCCCTCATTATATCTGGCATGCATTTATACCCCTTTCCTCCCCACCACCTCCCCTTCATCTGCCACTGGCTTCAATATGACTCAAGATCAGACAGACAACAGATCAACACCAGACCGACAACAGATCAACACCAGACCAACGCCAGACCGACAACAGATCGACATACTGTGTAGGTCTGGACACATGATAGCATTTTTCTATGCACATCACATTTTCACTTGGCAGCCCAAGGGGGGAGGGGGGGTTAAACCTCCTAAACCGCCTAGATCCGCCCCTGCAACATCTTTGGTGATCTCCTTCTCAATATTGATTTACAGGTCGAGTTACATTATTTGCTGGTCTTTTAGAATAACCAGATTTCAGAGGATTCAAACTTTTCACAACGAAAAACTTCTCCATGTTTCAGTCCTTGCGCGATCGTCTCCAGCTCCAGCAGATATTGGGCGTCAGCGTGCACATCGGTACTAACCGGCGCAGTATATTCTCTGCTGGCGGCTGCACGGCGAGCTTCCGTTGTTTGTATCAGTAACACTCATAGAGATGAAAGAGCAATTAGCGCCATTTAAGTTCCATTTCATTTGTTTAAGGTTTGAAAATTGATACTCAATATTGTGTTAAAGTTATATCAGAAAAGATAATGTTTATTTTATAATTCTACGGGGGCGATTTTAATTTTGCAATCACCCCCGTGAGCAACCTGACGGGGGCGATTATGGAGCTCACAGGGGCAAATCGCCCACCGCCCCTGTGTATTTTGAGCGCTGGATAAACACCAGACCAACGCCAGACCAACAACAGATCAACAATAGACTGGCAACAGATCAACACCAGATCAACAACAGATCAATTCTAGACTGACAACAGATCAGCACCAGACCAACAACAGATCAACTCTAGACTGACAACAGATCATCACCAGACCGACAACAGATCAACACCAGACCGTCAACAGATCGACACCAGACCGACAACAGACCGACACCAGACCGACAACAGACCGACAACAGACCGACACCAGACAGATAACAGATCAACACCACACCAAAAACGGATCAACACTGGACCGACAACAGATCAACACCAGACCGACAACAGACCAACACAAGACTGACAACAGATCAACACTAGACCGACAACAGACCAACAACAGACCAAAAAAACATTACATTTACCCAAATGGCAAAGAATTGGGTTTTTAGAGTCAATGTGGAGTTAGTTTGGTGGTGTAACTGTGGTTCATGAATACCACTATAAATGTGTTGTCATCAAGTGCATAAGTCTAAGGACTTTGAACCACAATGAACAGAGTTTGAATTCCTCTCGTAGCACCATTGTCCTTTGGCAAGAGATTGTAAAGCGATATTTTGAACAGGACATTGTACAGTAAGCATGTATGAAAGCATCCTATCTTCCCATCTGTCAAGAGTCCTATCTCGCACCCCAGGGCAACGTGTCTGACACGGCCGGTTGTAACAACTACTCCGAAGATCAATTATTTATTTGTTTTAAGTTTTTTTGTTTTATTCTGTCAAAACTTCTCATACATAATACAAATTAAAATGAAACACATGTATTTCAAATATATGATTATCATAATACAAAGTGATGGCAAATATAGTATGAGTAGAAACCGAAAATTATGGACAAAAAAAAGAAGATCAAGAAACTAATCTTGATCTAAGGAGACACAAATGAACGATCTGTCTATTTGTATCCCTTCTACCATCTAGGTCCATTTTACTCTTTCTAACATATTAAATTACCATCAAATTTCCCTCTACCTGCTCTCATGCTATGTTCACTCTCCCCAACTTAAAGATAAAGTTGAGTTCTGGCCATGCGGTTGCATTGCAAAAGAAAAGGTGTGGAAGCGATCAGAAAAAGTAGATCATGTAGACAGTAGCATGCATATATCAAGACCATTGTTTAATATTTCTAGTCGTTAAAGGCAAAAATCGATTGCTTTATTCAATATGTAAATTTAGATCTTTATGAAACTTTAACGAAAGCAATTGCAAGAGGACTTGAGAATTCACAATTGGGCTGACTCCAATGAAGAAAATGTATATGGGGCACCGCACACGTGCGCGACACGTGCGTTATATTTATCAGGACCAAATAGATATAGTTATTTACCAAATATACCAATTAGTAGGCGGTTTCTCGGCAAAATTTGTATGATCACGTAGTAGTCAAAACATATTCTTTCACATGATTGGTAATAAGAGCTTCCATTTCATTTTTTTTGAAAGGGGGGCGTTTCCAAAAACTGGTCTTTACCTTCAAGTGATTAACATGCACCTTTAATTTCTGTCAGAAGAAAACGACATGGTTTGCATTGGATTACGGATTATTACTTTGGCACGTAACCATGATTACTATAAGAAAAGGTATAAAAAAAACGAAGTGTGTTTGTTGCTGGGTAAAGTTCAAGTAATATAGAAACAAAGCAAATGACCTAAACAAAAATCTTTAAAAAGAGTATTACCGAAGGCAAAAGGAGGTAAACAACACAATCTTAATTGATGATGAAATAATAACTGGTAAAGTAAAGGTGGCAAGTTTATTGAATGAAACTGTTATTAATGTGAGTTTAAATCTACAAACTGGAACATGCCCTAGCATTGTAGACAGTGGCGTACGCAGGATTTTTTGAAGGGGGGGGGTTTTAAAATCGGGTCCAAAATTTCGCAACGACTCAGCAAAATTTGAAAATCGCGCTGGCCAAAAAGTCGCTCAGTGGGGGGGGGGGGGGGGGGGGGGGGGGTAAGAGGACACTTTTTTTTTTTTTTTGGTCTCGAAATTTGAAAATTTGACATTTTGCTCCCTTGGGGGGGGGGTAAGCTCACCTTCTTTAGGTCAGCCATGAGGGTAAAACTTTTTTTTTTTTTTTTTTTTTTTTTTTAATAATTAAAAAAAAAAAATATATCCAAAGGGGGGGGTTTTAGTTTTTTTTTAGGGGGTTTACACACATAAAAATACCAAAGGGGGGGGGGGGGTTTAACCCCCAAACACCCCCCTGCGTACGCGCCTGATTGTAGATGGGGATTTCAATTCCTTACAAACGTTATTTCAAACGGATTGCTCTTTCGAATTTCAAGAAATAAAATCAGAATTTGTTAAGAGGGTCTACATCCCAAGTTACTCAAATTCTCTGCAGATATCATTGCAAAATCACTCACTATATTATGTAATCAATTATTAAAAACTTCACAATTTCCTTTTGTAAATGGTTTCATATAAATAAGCTGTATATATATACACCCTCAGAAAACCATGATGATGTCATTTGCATCAAAAATAAGTTGGATAAACAATCGTCTCTCATTTAAATTAAATGGTAATACAGGGTGTCAAAACAATAAACAAGGGAACGCTCTCGGCGGTTGCCTGCATCACACAATTCGATATGATGAAAAATTGAGGTTGGGACATTATTTCTGGGCAGGATGGCCCATTAACAGGCCACCCAAAATGAAATCCTCTGAATATAATCAGCATTTTGAAGTGAATATTGACTAAGAATCATTACAAGAATTATTTACTATTACAAAGTCTAAATTTGTTGACCGGAAATGACCTTTGACCTTGACTTTGTGACCTGAAATTCTCCTCACATGATCGCCGCCACCGGAAAAGCGGGGCCTACCGTATGTCTCGCTTTTTGCTACGCAGGAGTTTTACTTGACTCACAACTGACGTGGTCTGTAGGCCTACATATAAAACATATAAAATCTAAAATATCTTGTTCTAGATTTATAATGTATTCATCATATAAAACACCTAATACCCCATAAAATTCTTGTAAACCTCTAATTTTACCACATATCGACTATTAATTGTTGTACTGCTTGGGGAAAATGCTCAAAGACAAATTTATCGAAGCTGCAAACGTCATAAAATAGATTTGCAAGATTGATTTTGAAAAAAGATTACGACACACCACAGTGTATGCTTCTTACAACTTTAAATTGGCAATTGGTCAACAACAACAAAAATATCACTACTTTTTGTTAGTTTTTAAAATTATAAATGTCATGGCCCCAACTTGCCCTTTATGTGCAAAAACATGGGTCGGTCGGGTCGGGAAAACTTTTTCTTTTCTACTCCCTCTTTGGGCTGATATTTCTCAGTTTTGAAACTTTTTTTAAAAGCCGACCATATATTTCAAGATTTTTGGGTCAGTCGCAAAGGGCAATACAACATTTTTTTTTTAGGCCTTATTTAAAATCACTTATTAATTATCGCACCTTCAACTACTGTAGGCCTACCCGCTATTCATTGAATTCTCTTCTTGACATCCCATACCCCATTCAAAAAAAGATCATTCACGTATAAAGCAAGCACCATGTCTAACAGACTCCCTCTCCCAATTCAATCCGAACATGTTAATACATGTACCGGTAGATGCAAAATAAACCCCGGAGGTTGCAAGCACGCATAATCTTAGGCAGTTCCCCACAGCCAAGCATATGGAGTGAAGATGTGTTTCTTGTTCTCTGCAAGTTAGAGCCATGCCTTAGCTGCATAAACCACCCCAATATTAATCTGCCAAACTCCCCCCCCCCCCCCCCCCCCCCCCCCCCCCCACGTGAGGTAAATGGGTATCCGGCAGGATTTAATCCCTTAAAATGCTTGGGTTCTGTAAATGTAACGGCAGCCGTACTAAACCTGGGGTAATGATAATGGAGCGTCAGGATTGGCAATGTGCCCGGCATGAACGCTTTGCAAGAGTCCTCTATTACTATATTATCTCACCTTCAAGACACAAACTTCTTGCTCTAATCTTCTGATCTTCTCATCATATTCTCTCTTCTCCTGTTCCATGCTAGTGATCTTTGACCTTAGCTCATGCTCAGTTCTCAAGGCTGTCTCCTTCAGCTTACCTAGCTGTGCTATGTGATTGTCAAACATTTGACAGAGAGCTCCTATGCCTTGGAAGCATGCACTTGTTCCTGGGTTGGTCATGCCTGCATCTCTCATTACGTCTGGTGCTAACAGTGCACCTGGCAGGGGGAGGCCATTTCTTTTCAGGATTTCAGTTCACTACCTGATCAATGGTGTCAGAAAAATAAATGTAGATGATAGTTTTCATAGTTGAGATATTTGTATAATTTTTATACTAAAGGGATGGGTAAGAGTACGCTGGAAAATAATGATTGGCTTTTGTGGTACATGTATGTGTAAAGTAGCAAGCATGCATTCTAGATCTCATGTGAGAATTTTAACATAAGGCCTAAAAATAAGATGTTGTATTGCCCTTGGACCGACCCCCGGCCGACCGCCCCAAAAATCTGAAATTTACGGTCGGCTTTAATTTTTTTTTTAATTACTGTTTTTTAGGGAAAAAAATTATTAAAGCATTCAAAACTGAGAAATACCAGTCCGAAGAGGGAGCAAAAAAAGAAGTATTTAAGAAATAAAGATTTCTGACCGACCGACCCATGTTTTGGCACCTAAACGGCATTACAACATCTTTTTGTTTAGGCCTAAGCCTAGTTCACACAAAAAAGGGGTACTGGTGGATTGCCTATTGTAGGCAAGTGTGCTTTCTAGGTCTCATATGAGAGAATTTCAAGAGCAAGATCGCTGGCCTACAAATTGACTGAAAATAGGCGAGAGATTCTACTGAGGAATTGAAATATGAAATGAGATATTCCATAACCCTACTTTGTAAAATGCATGCAGATTTTGCAGACTTATTGTGATGTCTCTAGCTCTAGCTTCAACGTACAGGTGAAAAAAAGGTCAACCACCACTGAAATTGACACAGCTCTACATACTGATGGTTCTACGAGTGATCTAGACCCTTCTGCGTTTTAATCTTGGAAACCGGCCTAAATTTATTGCGATTCTAATTCTAATCCTTTATTGAATAGTATTTTAGTGTTATATTGCTATAGATTACAGAGCAGCAGTGTAGTTTTGTATGCCCCCCTTGCAAGTATGATTCTTGAATGTTATCAAGATTGGAAAACATAAATGTTGAATCAGGGGGGCCAAAGGGGACTATTTAAGGGACACAGATATTCCTACTACATCAATGAAATTGGAGAGAACATTAGCTCAATCATCAAGCTCTTTGCCGATGATTGCCTCCCATTTAGAAAGATCAACAAAGATGAGGATGCCGAGGGTCTGTAGAAAGACCATCAAAATTTGCACAAATGAACGGAAAAGTGGCAGCCATTCAAAGCGAAGAAGCAGGGGCGGATGCAGGGGGAGCCCAGGGGCACGGGCCCCTTCCCCTGGCCCCCCCAAATAGGTTTATAAAAAAGATGGTAATGTTCATTTTACAGTACAGCTTCTTTCCTTGCACCATGAAAGACTGGGATGAGCTTCCTACAAATGTCATCGAACTGCACACATTAAGCAGTTCAAAGAAGCCACCAACTGCAATCATTGGCATACTGATTGAAGGGGAGGCATGGGGACAGTCCCCCACCCCCACCCCTCAATAAAATTAAAATGTGGTTTATTTCTAATTCAGTACCAGTGATTTACAAATGTTGCTGAAATGACATGTTCTTGCAGAATTTTTTTCACTTTTGTGTAAATTATACTTTTTTATGCATTTGTTGGAAATGACAAATTCCTAAATTTACAGTCAGGCAAAAAATATGCTTATTTTTAAGCCTACATATCAGGGCCTGCGGAAAGGCTGGAATCTGGCCCCCCCACCTTACTTTTTGGGAAAGGTAGCTTAAACTAAGAGAAATAGATAGATAGAAAAAATAGTGACCTGCCAGTGTCACAGATGAGCATCAAAATATGCTCATCTGACCGTAATTAAATGCCTAAAACCCTTAGCTTCCTGGGGCTCTGCCCCCTGGACCCCACCGAGGGCTCTAAGGTGTCTGGCCTAACCCATGAGCTTCCAGGCCAATTACTTGCCTCCAGTGTCACAAATAAGGTCTCAAAATATGCTTATCTGACCGTTAAATACCTCAACCCCTGAGCTTCCGAGGGCCCTGACCATTGACGCCTGCCGGGTCTTTGCCCCTGGACCCCACGCTATGCACTGTTAAGCGTTGGATGTCTTTTTATAATTATCTGCACATACTTCCTTGTCAGTTGTAATACTGATACTTAGTAAATTATGCCTTTTAATGAGACAGTAATGAATACACCTGCGCAGCACCTACATCAGTATGAGAATACATTCCTATGCTGGCCTGTAGTTAGCAAAGAAGAAGAAGACTCAAGTCAAGATTTAAAGACCTAAACTGCTAAAGAAATGGCGAAAATATGTCCATTTAGTTTGGCGTCATCAAATCTGAATCTGCATCTGAAATTGTGTAAATAACACAGGTCGATCAAGACATATCCGATAAGTAAAACTTCCCTCAACGAAAGAAGGCAGTTCATAATAATTGAATTCGACATCCTGCATCCTGTATAATCTACTAGGTAGTGGTACTACTAACTTAGTAGATCTACTAGATCTAGTTCATAGTATACTCATAGATGTTTGCATACATTGTTATCATTGATTTACAAACTCCATCTTTTTCAACTTCAGTCAGTCATTCAGTGACCCGGCCCTGATCGGGTTTGAAACAAAGATGTTTTACCAACACAACATTAACAGGCAACAAGAAATGAATACTTACAACACGAAAAAAAGATCTCCTCAGTGCAGCTCATCTGTCGATTTATACTCAGTGATTGGATTGAATGCTAACAGCTGTGTTGTGCATGCTGCAGCTGTGGCCGCTCCGCTAGCGCCGAGTAACCCGGAAGCGTGCTCACGCACTAGAATGGCGGCACGGGATCGGGAAATCCCCTACTTTTCCACATCAAGAATAAGGGTGCGGCGCGGCGCGGTGTGGTGTGCTCAACGCACCCATTCGATAAAAGAGGGGGGGGGGGGGGGCTTTTCTCGAAAGGTGCGTTGAGAGCGGAGTACCGTTTTAACACACCCTTTCGATAAAAGCGGGGTTTTCTCGAAAGGGTGCGTCGACTAGTCTTTCGCATCAGTCGTTTAAAATGAGGATCTGGGACAGAAGGTAATAGTTGCCAATTTAAGTATATCGAAAATGTATTAAATAAAATAGAATGGTTGTTGTTGTTGTTTTAGTTTTAAGGGCGTGTGTCATTCAATTATGAATATTTACGCCTTCTCGATTACAGAGTGGTCTCTTTCGTTATTACTGTGTTGATGGGGGAGACAGAGAGAAGGAAAAAAGGGAAAGGGAAAGGGAAGATAAAAGGAAAGAAAGAAGAATAAGAAGAAAAGAGGAAACGGGGGGGGGGCGAAGGGCTCTTGCCTCCCCCTCCCGCCAAAAAATAAATAAGAGAGGGAGAGGGAAGGGAGAGGGAAAGAAAATATAAAAGGAAAGAAAGAAGAGAAAAAAAGAATAAGAAAAGGGAGGGAAACGGGGGCGAAGGGCTCTTGCCTCCTCCTCCCCCCCCCCCCCCCCCCCCGCCAAAAAAAAAATAAGAGAGAGAGAGATTGGAAGCGAAAGGAAAGAGAAGATAAAAGGAAAGAAAGAAGAGGAAAAAGGAAAGAAGAAAAGATGGAAACGGGGGCGAAGGGCTCTTGCCCTCCCCCCCCCCCCCCCCCCCCCCCCCCCGCCAAAAATAAATAAGAGAGAGAGAGAGAGAGAGAGAGAGAGAGAGAGAGAGAGAGAGAGAGAGAAGGGAGAGGGAAAGAAAATATAAAAGGAAAGAAAGAAGAGGAAGAAGAAGAAAAGATGGAAACGGGGAAGGGCGGAGGACTCTTGCCTCCCCCCCCCCCCCCCCCCCACCTCCCGCCAAAAAAATAAATCAGAGAGAGAGAGAGAGAAGGGAAAGGGAAAGAAAATATAAAAGGAAAGAAAGAAGAGGAATAAGAAGGAAAGAAAGAAACGTGGGAAGGGCGAAGGGCTCTTGCCTCCTCCCTCCCCACCCCCCTCCCGCCAAAAAAATAAATAAGAGAGAGAGAGAGAGAAGGGAGAGGGTAAGAAAATCTAAACGGAAAGAAAGAAGAGGAAAAAGAATAAGAAAAGAGGGAAACGGGGGCGAAGGGCTCTTGCCTCCTCCCTCCCCCCCCCCCCCGCCAAAAAATAAATAAGAGAGAGAGAGAGAGAGAAGGAAAAGGGAAAGAGAAGAAAAAGGAAAGAAAGAAGAGGAAGAAGAATTTGTGTCCTGCCAGTGTCACAAATAGATATAAAAAATATGCTCATCTGACGATAATTTGATGTATAAAACCCCTCACCTTCTTGGGGCTCCGCCCCTTGGATCCAACACCAGTTTGTGTCCTGCCAGTGTCACAAATAGATATAAAAATATGCTCATCTGATTGTTATTTATTGCCCAAAACCCCTGAGCTTCCGGGGCTCCACCCCCTTGACCCCACGCCAATTCGTGACCCCTGTGTCACAAATGAGGTATAAAATAATAATAATTTAATGTACAAAACTCCTGAGCTTCTGGGGCTCCGCCCCCTGGACCCAACACCAAATTGTGTCCTGCCCCTGTCACAAATAAGGTATAAAATTATGCTCATCCGACATTAATTTTGATGTTTAATACCCCTGAGCTTCTGAGGGCTCCGCCCTGTGAAAAAAACGTGTAAAAAAACACGTTAATTTTACCGTTTTGGGGGAGATAGGCCCCCCCCCCCTCCCTGGCGTTCAAGGGGGGGGGGTACAATTTTCAAATGTTTGAGGGCCCCAAAAAAGATTAGTGCTCTCTAGTAATTTCGCGACTACTCCGGAACCGCGGCAGATATAAAGTTTTTCTTTCATGACTTTTTTCTTTCGAGTCTTACGCATCTTTTGAATCATTTTTTTGTTGAAAATTGGACGTATAGTTGCGGAGTCACGTGACCTTTTGTTTTTGCATGTCAGCCCTAAAATCGCTTATTTTGTAATTTATTTACTAAACATATGGAAATACCATTTATTCTTTTAAAAAAGAGAAAACATTGGTTATTTGGTTTTGTTTTCAAGTTAATGTGATTGTTTTGGGGTCAAAATAGTTGAATTGTGGTTAGAAATGAAATAAAACAACAAAACAATATAATACATAAATACAAATTATCAAAACAAGAGATAACATAGGGATAAACTGGCTCTTCCAACTTTGTTGTCGTATTATTATTCTAACGAATATTATGTAGTGAAAAAGAACGCTTGAATATGAATTATATATGATTTGTTTGCATAAATTACCATAAATATGCAAATGAGTGAATTTTTCAAAAAATTGAAATTACCATAGTTTTTTATACACTTCACTTGACATGCATGCACATTTTCGCGGCGATCGGCTGTGAAACGGCCGAGATCTTAGGGGGGACCCCCCCCCCCACCCTCAAGTCTACTCCAATCACATTGAAAAAAAGAATGACTTAAATCATCTCTATCATCATTATACCGCTACAGTATTCATGTTTTTAATATTATTTATTATCCTTCCATTGAACAAGTTCATGGAGAAAATACTTATCTCTCTGCAACATTAAAAAAGAATCTTCATTAATATGTCTTAATTTGTATTGATAGCCTTGTGGTCACCAACAGTGGCGTAGGTAGGGGCGTCTCCAAAGGGGGGGTGTGGGGGTGCGACACCCCCCCCCCCCCCCCACCTGTCAGGATATTGTCGGTAAAATTGCGCTGCCGTCGGGAAAAAGAGAAAAGGTGGAGGGGAAAAAAGAGAGGGAAAGGAAAAAGAAAAAGAAAGAAAGAGAAAAACGAAAAAGAGGGAGAATAGGAAGGGGAGGCAAGAGCCCTTTGCCCCCGTTTCCCTCTTTTCTTCTTCTTCCTCTTCTTTCTTTCCTTTTATCTTCTCTTTCCCTTTCCTTCTCTCTCTCTCTCTTATTTATTTTTGGCGGGGGGGGGGAGGAGGCAACAGCCCTTCGCCCCCGTTTCCCTCTTTTCTTCTTATTCTTCTTCCTCTTCTTTCTTTCCTTTTATATTCTCTTTCCCTTTCCCTTTCCCTTCTCTCTCTCTCTCTTATTTATATTTTTGGCGGGGGGAGGTCAAGAGCCCTTCGCCCCCGTTTCCCTCTTCTCTTCTTATTCTTCTTCCTCTTCTTTCTTTCCTTTTATATTCTCTTTCCCTTTCCCTTTCCCTTCTCTCTCTCTCTCTCTCTCTCTCTATTTATATTTTGGCGGGGAGGGCAAGAGCCCTTCGCCCCCGTTTCCCTCTTTTCTTCTTCTTCCTCTTCTTTCTTTCCTTTTATCTTCTCTTTCCCTTTCCCTTCTCTCTCTCTCTCTCTCTCTTATTTATTTTTTTGGCGGGGGGGGGGCAAGAGCCCTTCGCCCCCGTTTCCTTCTACTTCCTCTTCTTTCTTTCCTTTTATCTTCTCTTTCCCTTTCCCTTCTCTCTCTTATTTATTTTTTGGCGGGGGGGAGGGAAGAGGCAAGAGCCCTTCGCCCCCGTTTCCCTCTTTTCTTATTCTTTTTTCTCTTCTTTCTTTCCTTTTATATTTTCTTTCCCTCTCCTTCCCTCTCCCTCTCTTATTTATTTTTTTGGCGGGAGGGGGAGGCAAGAGCCCTTCGCCCCCCCCCCCCCCGTTTCCCTCTTTTCTTCTTATTCTTCTTTCTTTCCTTTTATCTTCCCTTTCCCTTTCCCTTTTTCCTTCTCTCTGTCTCCCCCATCAACACAGTAATAACGAAAGAGACCACTCTGTAATCGAGAAGGCGTAATATTCATAATTGAATGACACACGCCCTTAAAACTAAAACAACAACAACAACCATTCTATTTTATTTAATACATTTTCGATATACTTAAATTGGCAACTATTACCTTCTGTCCCAGATCCTCATTTTAAACGACTGATGCGAAAGACTAGTCGACGCACCCTTTCGAGAAAAGCCCCCCCCCCCCCCCCGCTTTTATCGAAAGGGTGTGTTAAAACGGTACTCCGCTCTCAACGCACCCTTTCGAGAAAAGCCCCCCCCCCCCCCTCTTTATCGAATGGGTGCGTTGAGCACACCACACCGCGCCGCACCTCACCGCACCCTTTTGATGAAAGCCAAGAATAAGGATGACGTCGATATATGAAATCAATTCAAATTATTGTATTTCTCATGCAAAACATAATACAATGAGTAAGTAAATACAAATAATATACAATGAAACAAGACAAATATATAATTAATGGCACGAGAAAGGAGGAACTAAATGGAAGCAGAGCCTCTCTCTCTCTCTCTCTCTCTCTCTCTCTCTCTCTCTCTCTCTCTCTCCTCTCTCTTTATATCTTTCTATATATATCTCTCTCTCTATATAGAGCTAGAGAGAGAGAGAGAGAGAGATCTCATTCATCAGTTTTCCCGCTCTCATCAGTCACCCTATCTCTCTCCCTCTCCTTTTCTCAACCTCCGTCTCTCTCTCTCTCTCTCTCTCTCTCTCTCTCTCTCTCTTTCTCTCTCCTTCTTTCCCACTGTCTCTCTTTCTCTTTCTCTCTCTTTCTCTCCCTCTCTCTCTCTCTCTCTCTCTCTCTCTTTCCTCCAATATATATTTATATTCCTTACCTTCTCTATAATAAGACTTCTCACCTTTTCCATTACATTCGGATTGATTTTCCTTCACACACTTGAAATGAATAATACTCCAAATTAATCAGGTTTTTAATGAAGAGAGGTTGTTATAGTTTATTTATTCTATTTGTTATACTGACACATCTCACTCGGCGACGGGTTAATCTTATATGCATTCAATAATAAATAAGACCCCCTCCCTCTCCCCCCCCCCCCCCACACACACCCTCCCACCTCAGTGATTAGGTGAGAGTGTGAACATATTTACAAGAAGTGCTAGAGCAGTAAAAGACACTTTATTCTGTGCACTTGGGATTTATTATTCTCTTAATGTTAGTTTGTTTTTTATTTAATTGAGATTGCTCTTTTCAATGAACTTTGGATAGAGTTTGTTGAGAGCCGTGCAAAAGGCATAATTCTTAGACAAATTATATCAGTTGACGCCCTCTGACTCATGGCAAACAGTTATTGATTTTTTGATTATTTTTTTTCCTCATAGAGATGCCCTCTGCAGAAAAGCTACACGCTAGCATGCAGATCATATTGAAAGATTTCCGAGTTATAAGCCAATCCAACTCTTGTAATGATTTGTAATGGAGGCGGGAAATCAAAGAAACATAGTATTGGCAAAAGTTTGAAATAAATCGGAACAATAATAACAACACTTATTAATGTTTGAAATATGAGATCACTACATAGCTATATATGCCAATCTCAAATTGGCAATTTTGTTAGTGGATTGTGACGTGGTGTCGGATATCTCTCCCGTTTGTCGTGTACAAAAATATCACTAATTTCTGTTTCTATCCCAAGTATTAATAATATTATTATAGGTCCTCTAAAATGAAAAGACCATTCAAAGTCATACAGTTTGAGAAAAAAATTGACATTTTGATAAATTTCTTTGTGTTGGAACAAATGGGAAACTTGTCCGCCACTACATCACGTGGACATTACCGTTTCAGCCAATTTGAAGAGCCCATACCTATTGTGACTTTAAATTAGAACTATTTAACAATGTATTCAAATTTAGGCATGTTTCCCCCTGAACACTTAGTTATTAACTATTTGATTCACCGCCTAGTCATAGTGGCATCTCTGTTGTACTACAATGCTGTTACTTCAACTGTTTTGTACTACAATGCTCTTATCTTATTTTATTTTATTTTGTTGAACATTTTGCAAGATTGCAAATGTACAACAAAATAAAATAAAATCAATAATAATAATACTTTAATATGAATGTGATAAGACGATGAAATTGTTTGATTTAAAAGAAATGATTTAAATACAAAATAATAATCATTGCATCTCTATAATATAGGCCTAGTTGGAATCCACTCTGCAAACATTATCGGTTGTTATGTCTGGAAAGCCTCTGGCAAGCCTATTAAGTCCGTAGGGAACTTTTCTTTAAAAAAAAAATATGCATAAAATTATAAATCAGGTCTAATGTGTGGTGAAGAATAACTACTGGTACACTGTATCGTAATTCGGTTATCTTTATACTTATATAATATATACATGTTTTTATGCTCATACTGTCGGTTTAACAAAACTACAATATTCTTACTCCGACTGTTTAACACAACAATGCTCTTACTTCAAGACATTGTTTTGTACTGCAATGCTCTTAATGACAGCGGGTGTGTTAGCTTTCTATTGGGTATACTTCTTAGTCTTCAAATATAACACTTCGCTGTCTGAGACTCATTCTGTCTGGTTTCTTTCGGAGGGAGACTTTCTTTTCGAGTCCAATCTGCTGTCGCTTAAAGAATCCCATCTAAAAGAGGGATAATGAAAGCGAGAAACGAATTGAAAAAGCTGGAGATAGAGAGATAGAATACACCATCTCTAAATACTAACCATCTCTTTTCAAGGCTACAAATCATCACCAAAGATTGTTTTAATAGGTTCATTTACACTGTGATACCTGAAGCGTTATATCTTTTTAATGTTCATTCTTCTCAATAGATTTAAAATTGGGGGGGATACTATTACTTTTTTTTAACGGGCAAACTACTCTTTAAGAAAGCGGAAAAATCAGACAAGCAGGGTGGTGAAAGCTTAAAGAGAAGGTTGAGTTCTGGAAAGAGATGAAAAATAATTTGTGAGCGTTATCATTGTATTGTGCAAGTGTGGAAGAACATCAGATAAAAAATCTTCCCTGAAAAGAATGGCTTTTCAAATGCCTTAATATTCTAAATAGGGCATGTCAAATCATAAAAATCGGAACGGATTTTTATGTCATATGTTCGTGTAGTCCCATATACATTTTCTGTGTACAGTGCTTGTAACTTCACCAAGACTGGGCCAAATGTCTTAACATTTTGATGATTCCAGAACCTTGCGGTACACATCAATACTTATATGCTAGATGATCAACCTTATCTGATCGATTCCATTACTTTTCTTTTACAATGCAATTGCACGACCAGAAATCAACTTTATCTTTAAACATAATTGGTCAATAAAATAAGAAAAATATTTATGACCACTATAGTATTTGAAGGATAGGAACTTCAAATTGGCTGAATCGGTGATGTCATTGTGTAATGCATTCCGAATTTGCTCCAACAACAATCAAATATAAAAGTGTCTTTTTTTCTTCTTCAAACTGTATGTCACAGAAAGGTCTTTCCTTTGTAGAGAACCTGTTTATACAACATGCTATTCATAGCATATTTTGAGTAGTGCCCATAGCTCTATTATTTAAGGTCCGATTTATATCAAACTTTCGACATTGTGTTTCACTTATTTTATTGCTTTTATAAAGATGGATTAAGTTTAAAGGTTGGATTGCCCTTTAACCATTCCGATATACAAACGAAAGCATTATCCCCCGACTGTATAAAAATAATCATTTTGAGTGGCAGGGAAGAGCTGCACCCTCCGGGGGGGGGGTACTCACATATTAAGACATACGGGGGTGTGCCGTACTAATGGGTAACTTTTTCACAAAAATCCCTAAACATGGGTCCCACTTTTAACAAAAATACCATTAAAAATGGGTCCTTTTTTCGAAACTTCAAATAAAGGAAAAACACCCGAAAACACCGAAAATTAGAATAATGTGTCTTTTTCGAGAAAAATGCCACAGAATGACCCCTAATAGTGGGTAAGGGTTTCGGGGCTTGAGCGACACACCCCGTCCCCCCAAAAAAAATCAGAGCTTCCCCCCGGGAGCTGCACAAATCGCCTGGATAACTTATATCATTCATGAGATAATTCAAAGAGAGGGGGACACGTACTTTATAGAGTATAGCATTAGCACCAGCTAGAATTACCACGCCCATCAAACATGCCCCGATGATCATCCAGATACTCCTCTGGGGGATTGTAGTGGGCTGGTAGGGGTTCAAATCGGTACCATCTTCCACCAGTACTTGCTGCAAAGCAACAATCTTAGTAGTTGCCTACAACAATGAAAACATATTAACGGGTATATTTATCAAGAATAGTAATATCCAGAACATGTACACGCGCATGTCCACTGTTATAGGAGCCTTAATGCTAATCCCCTGTGAATTGAACACCAATATCGAATGACTTCCCCGTCATCCTTTCCACTTAAAATTTTGTTTCCATTGTTACACATATACATGTGACAAGAGGGGCTTATGTCTACGTTTGACATAAATCAAGATAAATAATTCAAATACCGACATTTATTAGTGTTATGCTTGTTCGTTCGGATATTTCCAATACATACAAATAGAGACACCGAGTTCTTACAGAAAAAAGTTATACCTTAACGAATATAACATAATGAATTCATAACTCACTTATGTAATTTGACAATGAGAAGGAAAAAACTTTTAAAAAAAACGTTCTTGGTATTACCGTAGCTGTTAATGTGATATTCTCTGGCAGTTGAACATGGTAGTCGCTGCCATGCACTATGACTTCTGCATTAGAAACGAGGGCGACACTTGCGGTGATGTTTAACTGAAAATATAAATAACAGAGAGTCACAGAAGAAAACAAATGGTGCAAAATTATCATATAGAAAAGACACCAAAGCCTAAATTAAAACAAAATCATACGATAAATGTTGTTACCATGGTTACAGGAGAATTTATTAATTAGCGTTGAATTACACTGATAACATTCAGTTAAACATTTGCTATATCCCTACCTCAGCACTCAGTTTGAGAAATTGATCAATATGAAAACGTGACGTCACAACGATTGCTGCACTATCCCGGAAGGAAGTTTTTCTTGTTCCCACTGTATCGAGGTGGCATGTTATCTCATAGCAACCATTTCCGCTTTGACAATCTATGGCGGGAAGATCTCCGTCAAAAGCTATGTAATCGTAATCGTTTAGAGTCGGGTTGTTCGTGACACCGATGTCGGTACGTCGCTTCCGACGTCGTGCTGGTGCTCGACCGAACGATGGCTGAGAAGGACCTTGTGTTGAAGACGATGTAGATAATGGGTGCTCGTATGGAGATGAAGGGGAGACTGGTGACTGAATATTGACATCATCAATAGAAGCAGGAGTCGAAAACAACTGTAAGGAAATGGAAGAAAGAAAAAACCAACGCAATTGGTATAATTTAATTCGCTTAAATAACACTTAAACATTACATACGTTATAACCATGAACCAGAAAAAAGACTCAAATTAAGTCACAGTTTCTGATGACTCCGCCAACAATCGAAAGATGGCCTAGGACAAGCCTTCCCGTGGACCAAGCGAATATCTGCCATCCGGTTCAAGTGAGGCATTGCCCGCTTGGTCCTGTCTAAATCGCCTTCAGAGTGGAACACGAAGATGGAAAGCCCTCGTGCATACATAGGGCTACAGTAAATATGGAGGGACTATGTGCGACTGTGGGGATGATTAGAAGATGAGACACATTTTAGTCTGCCCCTCCTCCCTGAACCCTGTACCCCCCCCCCCCACCCCCCAATAAAAAAGACCTAGATAGAGGGTTCCAACGCCGAGGCCAGATCCTGCGTTCTACACTTGACTGGTCTTGTGTAAGGGACTCGATATGAAGAATAGCATAGGAGCAAAGAGACTGGACACAATTCTACTTTATTATAGCGTTATTGTTCATTATGAAAAAAAGTACCCCGATCTCGTTCAAAAATACATATAGACTACTATTTTTTGTAGTATGTGTTTGGATATTTTGTATATACGATTAAGTGTTTTGGTCATGTACAATGTGTTAAACACTTGTGTATATATCTATTTATTTTGAGTTTGAAGAGAGAAAAATCTAAGTCATAGCAAACACTCAATACTTATACAATATTTGACGTGTTTGAAAAACCTTGTCAGAATATAATAATATAATCTAATATAATAGAAATTATTGCATTCAAATCAGACTATTTTACTTCGATCACATATACATTCATACAGAATGGATAGAAAAGGTGGATTTATATACCTTGTCCAGTTCCTATTTTGATTTATATTCCATCTAGTTGCTTGTTATTACCTTGTCCATTTCACATTTATCTCCACCCTCAACCTCCGCGTCGATCAGTTCTATGACGTTACGATCGCTGGTCGAGTCCGAGATTGAATGTGGAAAATGAATCAACACGGCTGTTCGTCCGATGTTACTCGGTCCTCTATTACTGAGCTATTACAAATGACAATTGTTTTAAAGGTGCATGAATGGAACAAATGACACATATTTAAACTTCTCTTAAAGTAATTTGACCATGGGAAGATGAATATGCAATATGCCCTCATAACTGTTACTCTATTTATATTGATGTACATTCAATTATGATTTTTAAGTAATCTTTTTTTTTTTTTAATCCAAAGGTCCAATTTTATTAAATTACAACAAAATCACATTTGCCGATCATGCATTGAGTACTTTGCAGGACATTAGCATAATCACGATTATGACCCTTTGAATATTTTTCCCATTTTTCTTGTACTTTGCCGAATTATAATTATATGAGCGTCTAGAATGTTAACATACAACAAATCGATGAAAGATGTTGGGTTCGTCATCTAGTACTGTTGCATTATCTTCTTGGTAGTCCTGCAAGTCATATAGCAGATATTCACTTTCAGAGGCCCTGGAGAAAAGAAATGTCAACATTTGGTTTTAAATTCATACTTTTGAGAATGATCTGTTCGTGATAATTTATCACACTTTACAAATAAAGACAATCATATGTTTAGGGTATTTTTCTTACGAAAATTGTCATTATCATATCACTTTTTACCACTTGATGCAATGGGTCTATTATTTGGGAGGGGGTCGTTTCTTTTAATTAAATATTTGTGTCACTACGTTGACGGTTTCACCATGGTAGTCTTGAAAAGGATTGTTGAGTTTAAAGGGGTGGAAAGTAAAAATGTAGTGAGGGAGAAGACTTTCTTTCGGTTTCTTCCTGTTGAGTTGCTTGAAATTGTTGTGAGAGAGGTAGAAAGACTTAGGAGAGAGGGATATTCTTTCGGGTGGGGAGTACTCAACAGGACTGGTAAACCAAATTATGAATGCAGAGAGAGAGAAAAAGAGAGACAGACAAAAAAACAGAGACAGACAGAGACAGGGTGGCTCGACGTTTCGAACAGGTTGACCATATTGACTGTCCTACCATGTAGTAGGTCCATGGTTCTACGCACGAAAGAATATACCCCTCTCTCCTACTTTGCTCTTCCTCCCTTCCAATCTCAAGTAGTCCTCTACAGGACAACGCAAGGCGAAAGAATCTTCCCCTCACTCTGTCTTCACTTTCTATCCCCTTTCAAACACAACAGTCCTGTTTAGAACTATCACCATGGTGAGACCTAATGAATGGTATACACTGATTTGTGAGGTTTTGCTTACCCTTCGAAGCTGAGATCGGAGTGAATGGTGATATTCACGTTTACAGAAACCTTGTTGTCGCTTGCATTACTATCATTGTGTGCGCTATATGAAGATAACAATATTAATGAAATATACAAAAGCAAAATGAAATGTTATAACTGATGATGTTTATTATAATCATTATTATTATTGCTATCATTATCATTGTCAGTATTATTATATTAAAAGAGATCATGCTTCTCACGTATTTAATTTCGATGGATAAGATATTTCAACTTATAATTAAGGTACTTCGTCCGTGGTACGATCGTTGGATATTCGTGTTTTCAGGTTGCACGAAGTTTCATGAATAAACAAGGCCTAATTCCCGAAGGGCCGGGTGTAAATTTGTTAAATACACCATTCTTATCGCCAAGGTGTCGGGTCCAGTTTTTACCCCACACTTTCTGAAAAACTCATAACAAATTTACGAAACCTCGAGTCTTGACCCGACACTTTTTTATACGAGAAAAATATTCACTAGAGATCGTAAAAAGGCAAGCGATCAATATTTTACCATTGTCTGATTGTATGGGCATGTTTTCACAAATGTTCATGTATTATATAAGATTAACTTTATCTCAAGGACCATCTTTGAAAAATGTGTTTAATTACATTCAGTGAATATGTATGGTTGTATGATTTCATGAAAGGTGTATCGCGACAACCCGACCCAAAGCGAAGACTAGATGGAACGAAGTAATTTAGCCACTTAAAGGAAATTTTTACATAATTCAGGGTGTGGAATAAAACATAGAATCTAAATTCCTCCATATTAACACTTCCATGAATGCAGGGCAAAATAATCGTTGTGTCGAGACAGGCGCGGATCCAGGATTTCTTAGGGGGGCCAAAATTTGAAATCAATTTGAAATTTAGTACGGTGCTAAAATTTGAAAATCGTGCCGGCCAATATTTCGCTGAGTCGGGGGGGGGGGGTAGTGAGCATAATTTTGTTGGGAGCCCTCGAAAATTTGAAATATCGCATCCCCCCCCCCCCTCTCCCCCTGGATCCGCCACTGTGTCGAGATATGTTTTAAAAAAACGAGTCACTAGAATGTCTCCACAATGATTTTGAAATTACATGTATAGTTAAAATGCGTTTTGATAATTTACTTCTGTGCCTTCTTCTGCTACATGTTTTGCAAAGAGAGAATTATAATTATTTGAATGGAATTTATCTCCTATACTGAATTCAAGTAAAAAAAAAAAAAAAAAAATAAACAATACCTTGAAGCCTCCAATATGAATGACACGTTGCTGAAATCACCTTTGACGTCATCGGTTGCAAACACGAGTTGCATGACGATCTTAATCATGAACAAAAACAAAGACAATGAGAAGATTATTAAAATATTTTGATGAAAGAACTGTATCATATTCGTATTACAAATGTCTGTTACAGTAATGAGAAATTCCCTTAGAAGTCATACTTATATGATCACACAGACTAAAAAAAAAAAAAAACAGCTCTCAATCCACCCATCCTATCTCATACTCGTTTTTCATTTTTCAGAGACGCATCGGCAAGAGTTCTGAAGAAGAAAGATGAAAATTGCAATTACTATATTTAAGACTCATTTCTAAAATGGTCCTGTATGAATCACAGTATCTCTCATTATGAAATTGGTTTTGAAATATGTGAGGTTTGGCAAGGGGAAATAAGCGCGGAAAACCCGAAAATCCTGAACGTTCTACATGAGCTTCAAGTTGGCATAAAATGTAAGCACATATAGTTCAATAAAATCCAATTCAAATAATGTTATTTCCAAAATTCAATCAAAACATGAAAAATGATTACATAAAATTAATATCAAATGACATTCGCAACATTATATAGAAAATGACACTTATTTGTAATTATACAATATTAAATGTCCATAAGTGAAAAACTCATTTATATAAGAATACAAAATATATTGATGAGCATAATATTTTTATAAATTAAGTCGAATTTTAATGGAAATTGAGAAATCCATTATAAAGCAGTGCTTGTATTTGTGTGAATTAATCTAGAAAGATAAATGGAAAGAAGGAAGGAAGAAACAAATTTAAGGTAAAAGAAAATAAATACATGCACTGCTCAGAATTATGACTTACCAATTTGTCTGTGTTCTCGCAATCTCATTCATAAACAAAACAAGCATATATAGTCACCAATCTTTCTGTGTTATCATAGTCTTACCTAGATACAACAATCATAGATAGTTACCTATCTTTCTATGATCTCATAATCTCACGTACCTGTTCATAGGCTAGCATCGGATTTCCAAGATCACAAACTAAATCCTTTTTACCAGTCTTCTTGTCACACGTGATGAGGTGCTTGTTCTATAATATGAATGATATGAGGACTCATTGAGCCAATGTACGGTTGCCATTCACTAGAACATTCAAATATGGATTATGGATCACTGCATGTAATTTTGATACTATGAGTATAATTAATGTTTATCTCGACTGTTATTTGATTCTCAATTATCCACAACTTTTGGTCGACTGTGCTTGACGTATCAATTTAGAAATATATGTAGTAGCTGGCTCTAACATACATGTTTCCTTGGAAATGGAAATATGGAACGACTGTTTCTCTTCCCGGTTTCTCTCACGAAACGCTATTCTTACCTTTGTTAATTGAATGACCTGCACGAAATGAAAGGTGTCTGGTTGTGTGAAATTCAGTACACTCTCGTAAGCATCTTCTCCATTATTAGATATAGAAACGAGGAGACGAATCACTGCTGATGATCCTACCACCATCTCAGACGTATCTCTTAACAATTAATAATAGTGGAAATCCCATATTATAAACGACTACACAATATCAAAAATGTTGGTAGCTTAAAACTAGATTGGCTTAGGATAAGGAATTTTAAAAGATGTTATGGATAACAATGGCAAGCATTAAAAGGAAGGAATACATTTTAAAAATCTTGAAAGGCCATTTAGTTGAGATGTACTTTATAGGTGTAAAGATCTCATCTATATCACTCAAAGCTAGTTTAAATGGCACTCGTATGTTATGTAAACATTATAATATTAGCTTATCACTTCACTTTCAAACTAATGAAAAGAAACAAAATTGCATGTGTGAAGATTGTGCATTCACTATGTTCTTCATCAAAGCGAATAAATTTCAAGACACCCGAGTATATATTATACCGATAGCCCGTGAGACCAATGGTTCTTATTAACCTGGGCCTTAGAACTAGTTTTACAAGGCCCAGGGGTTGCCCTTGACAACTAAGACATATTGTAATCCTTTAATGAAAAGTTAATGTACAATTGTTTAACAATATTTTTCAAAATTAAGATTGACAAAACAAGGAACTTTAAAAACTTACGATGATGCCAAGATAGCGAGGTCTGGTACACATATTACACTGTTGCAGTCATACAGGAAAGGAATCTAGTAGAGATTGATATCATGTAATCATTTTATGGTTTGTTTGTTGCTGTTTATTAACTACGAAAATGATGGGGCATCCATCTAGACTCTGCGTTATGACACTGACATTAGGGTTATAGCAAATTGTATAAATTCCATTACAATGGCGAGGAAGAACACATCTAAAAGAAAACGAACCAATGAATGTTAAAATGAACAAAAAAGAAGCGCTGATATCCGAGCTACATGTACTACTCTATCTTTGTTTTCGTCTTAGGCAAGATAGAGCACTAATATGCAAAGCAGAGCTCTTTTTCACTAACATTATTGTAACATTGTTTTATCCAGCCCGAAACCTCACCCCAAAGAACAAGTGTAGATGTTCTGAACAATTTGTGGAAAGAGATAGAATCAGTGAATTGTGTGGCGGATGGGGCTTACTATTCGTAGTATAATGAGATTGTATCACATTGTAATGATCATCACTCGATGGTCTTGATGAACAGTTATCCAACCCTCTTCAGTGTCGAATCATTCTCTTGTTATCATTTTTAAAATAATCTTTGGTCCACATCTGCTGAGAACAACCTAGATGTTACTTACTGACAGTTCTTTACGTGGCTCAATCTCAGAGTCCAGAACAGGCGCAAGTTCATCATCATGACTGTCCTGGTCGCTAACAATCTCATATTCAACTATGAACGTAATCGGTGTTAGCTTGTCACGGATAGAGTTCTGTGGGAGACAAAATATCGCAATAGTTAGTGGGATGGTATATGACGATAGAGGGGAGAGATAGTCTATCCATAGATCTACACCATATACACGGAGAGGGGAGAGCGGGAGAGTGAGAAAAGGAGGGGAAGAGAAAAGAGAGAAAGAGAGCAAGGGCTATGGCTATGTGGATAAAATTTTATAAAAGTAATAAAATTGTAAACATTTAATGCACCCACTTCCAGAGAAACCTCATGAGCATCAATGCCGCTTCGACCCGAGGGCCTGTAATTATTATCCACCCAGCAGTTGCCATGTATCAATTTACACATGGGTGGAGAGAGTCGCAAATGTGGATTAATGTCAAGCCAAATGACCTTAGTGTCGGATTTGGATTCGGACCCTCAACCCTCAACCTCTCGTGGGTGCTGGAGCATAGGCACACAACCACTGCTCGAATGTGTTCTTTCTCATTCATATGAAAGCTCATAATTCCGGAGCAGTGCATGTGTAATTCATCTTTTTTTTCCTTTTTCTTTCTTTCTTTCATCCTTTCCTCTCTTCTTTCTCGAGTAATCCGCACAAATACAAGCATTGTTTTTTAGTGGATTACTCAATTTCCTTTAAAATTCGACATAATTTACAAAAATATTATGCTCATACCTATCTGAAAATGCCTCTATTACTTATCGAAATTTAATATTGTGTAATCACAATTTGGTTTCATTTTCTATGCTACGTTGTAAATGTCATTTGATATCAATTTTATATAAGCATTTTGTTCATGTTTGGATATAAAACTATCTAAATCAGATTGAGAGTCAAGTGAAAGAACATCTCCACACAAGTCAAGTAACAGATATGGTCAAAGTGAGGTGGTACAGGAAGGGATCATTTAACAATGTTAAATCTGAGATATACGGCCCTACGTGTTATCAGTGTCTGTGATACGGTGTAATATTGAAGCCCTAAAAAAATTGCGCTTCAAAATGATCAAGAAGTGCCTCAAAAAAGTTTAAAAAAATCTTTGAGTGACCGGTTTTACCATACTCGGTTTCCCCAATAGACTGTAGTGTTATGAAAACCATCAGACGAACGGTTTTCAAAATTTGTAATTCCAATCATAAATATCTTGATAATCAGACAGGCGCTCAGCTTGTAAAAGTCATGGGGTTCCTGACTGACCTAAAGGTTTATAATTATCATTGCATCATGAGCTAAATCAAGAATTTTATTTCAGAATCTGAGACAAAGTTACCGGATCCCTGGAACGGTCTGAACTCCACCCGTCAATTACTTATCTCAAATATTGACCAAAACATTTCAAATGCTTTGTCACTGCATCAGTTTGTCTTCGTATACTGTCTCCTTCATTTTGCCGATTGTGATTATTTAAGTTAACATAAATTTTTGCATTTGAAAATTTCCCATGGACTTGCGTGTTGTAGGGGCAAAAATCGAAAGGGGTTTTCGTGCCCGTGAAGTATATGTAAGGGAGGGGACTCGTTCGAAGGTGCCCGTGCATTGAGCCACCAGCGGTTCTCGGTTGTTCCCTGCCCGAGACACGGGCGAGGTCGGACCGGGATCTTGGTGGCCTGGTTATCCTCGGAGGAACACTGGTCCACCATCGATTCTCGGCCGTGTCTCGGGCAGGGACAGCCGAGAATCGATGGTGGACCAGTATTCTTCCGAGGATAACCAATCCAGCGGGACACCGGGTCCCTCTTCGGCCGTGTCTCTGGCAAGGGACAACCGGGAACCGCTGGTGGAATTCTTCCGAGGATAACCAGTCCAGCGGGACTCGGGGTCCCTCTTCGGCCGGGTCTCTGACAGGGGACAGCCGAGAATCGATGGTGGACCAGTATTTTTCCGAGGATAACCAATCCACCAGGACTCCGGGTCCCACCTCGGCCGTGTCTCTCGTAGGGGACAGCCGAGAATCTATGGTGCACCAGTATTCTTCCGAGCTAACCAGGCCATCAAGACCCCGGTCCGACCTCGCCCGTGTCTCTGGCAGGGGACAACCGAGAACTGCTGGAGGCTCAATGCACAGGAACCTTCGAACGAGTCCCCTCCCTTACAACCCCCTTCGATTTTTGCCCCTACAACACGCAAGACTATAGGAAATTTTCCTTGAAACCCGAAAGTCAAGGCGTCCCCCTTCGCCCGTGTCCGCCGCATGGGACAACCGAGAAGCGATGGTCTGAACTCCACCCGTCAAATATGATCGAAACATTTCAAATGCTTTATCACTGCATCAGTTAACATAATTGTCTTAGTATATCACTGTATACTGACTCCTTCATGTTGCCGATTGTGATTATTTAAGTTAACATAATTTTGCATTTTAAAATTAGCATGGTCACATTCGTATCAGGTTCGAAAGCAAAACTATCATGCTTAATAATGTTAATATTAACGCTAAAATAAAAACGCCACGCTCCAAACCGAAAAGGCATATTGTATTATTTAGATTAATGTCTTTTATTTTTTTCATTTTTTTTAAAACTTTGCAAGAGTATTCTGGAGGACGTGATGTGAGGAAGAGAACATTTTGTTTTCTTATAAAATATAATTATAAAACGAAAAAGTAATTTAAAATGTCTTGAATTCAGTAAATATAAGACTAGGATTGGTTACTAGGATGTAGACCGTTCCATTTTGTAATTTTACCGGGAAGAGTACTATCACTTCGGTGACTTCACAATACTTACTCTTTTAAGGCGAGTACGGGGAAGAATAGTATCACTCCCTATTACTTACCCTTATGTAACCAGTGTGGTGAGTACAGAGAGTGGTATCCTTTGAAAGTTTCAATATTTGGCTGAGAGAGTCTGCATTCCCGTCTGGTAATAAGAATAAAGATCTTGGCAGAGTCTGTGTGATAGATGAGAGCGTATATGATACATCTAAAGGGAATAAAGACAAAGAGACAGGAACATATTTAACATTAAAATGTTCAAGAAAAGATGTTTGAGTCGGTGTTCTTGGTCGAATAAGAAGGGTTCTATTACAATATATATTAGAGAAAACAAAGGAGTGATAATAATCATGAAAGGTGAAGAATATGTCATAGAAGCAGAAAGGGGAAAAGAGAGGGAGAGAGAGGGGGAGAGAGAGAGAGAGAAAGAGAGAGAGAGAGGGGGGAGGGAGATAGTGGGGACGGACGGACGGAATAGAATGCTAGCCTTGTTGAAGGGTTTAAGAATTATTAATTCAGAAAGGAATTGTGTTGATATGATGTTACGAAGGATACTAGGAGTAATAGTAAGAGAAAGGAGAAGAAACAAGGAAATAAATAAACTGAAGGTAAGTTAGGTAACTATACATCTTGAAGAAGGTTATGGAGATGACATTGAGATGGTTTGGGCATTCAGAGAAGGCTGAAGAGGGGAAACCAGCAAAGGATATTATGACGCGAACAGTGGAATGAAGCAGAAGGGGAAGGCCGAAAACTCGATGGAAGGATTACATTGAAAAAAATAGAAGTGAACTAAATCTGACAGCGGCTCAAACAGAGGAGAGAGGAAATGGACGATTCGGACAATCAACCCCTGCTATTGGTTCATGGAATAATAATAATAGTAATAGTAATAGTAGTAGTAGTATTAGTTTTAGTATTAGTAATAGAAGTAGTAGTAGTGGTAGTAATAGTAGTAGTAGTAGTAGTAGTAGTAGTAGTAGTAGTAGTAGTAGTCGTAGAAGAAGCAGCTATTGTCGTTATTATAAACTTACTCAGGTGTTCAGGTAAGGCCACTCCAGTGAACAGCATGCAGAGAGATAAACGGAAGCTACAATCAAAATATAAAATGAAATCAAAAGTGTTGACAATTCAAATAGAATGAAATCGATATTGTTATCAATGTTTGTTGTCAAAAGCTGCTCTTCAAATTTAATACAACATGTACAATGACATCTTAATCAATAATATCTGCCCATTAACAACTGAATGCTAGTAGCTTTTCCACGTTCATGCCAAATTTGTCCCTGCGCACGTATATGTATGAAAGGAATGGTCAACCGAAGGTTTGGTTGAGGGCTCTCCTTTCCAATTACACACACTAACACTATCATGATGAGATGATGAATGTAACTCCTGACCCCTATTCATCACAAACTGGGTCAAATCTTGATTTGTTTTATGTAAATGGCCAGTGTTCGGTCATCTTTGATCGCATATTGATGAGCAGCGTGAGTCTATTGTATTAAGGAATTGCCGATTACCATGCCAATATAGTTATTTCAGAATTATACTTATATCATAATATTGGGAATGACAATTGGTCTCTTTTTACTGATTCAGAATTACCATAAGCTTACCTCGCGACTTTTGACCCGTCTGCTAGAAGAAGATTGTGCTCATCTACGTCGATGCCCTCACTTTCATTCAAGGTCAAAGTGACATTGAGATCAACTACAGGACGAGACCTTGTATGGAAAAATTCATTAAAAAAATTAACATACAACTAAGTAGGTTCGCAATTTTTGTTCTACAAAATATTTATTTATAAAAATCACAGGCTTCACAGAATGACTTGTTTTTTTAAATCGTGCAAGCAACGATGGGTGGACAATGCATAATCATAGAGACATAACCCACGGGGAGCCCCCCCCCCCCCCCCACCCTCCGGTTACCAGTAGTCCAGTAGGTCTTAAGTATGATGTAGTTTCTTTTCCTGATTAGAACAATATAGTTGGAGTGATGCATATCTTGTTGATTTCCACTATTCCTGAAAATCAAGGCTTTTATGATTACAGACACCTTTTTTTTCTTTGTGCAAACAATCTAGAGCTTGATTTTTGCAGAAAAAGTGAGTCAATGCTCTCTGGCAGACCTTGTTTTAATAATCAAACATGTACAGATAATATTAAAGGTCAATATTTACCTGAAAAGCACCACTGTAGATGATAAATACGAGCCTACCACCAGATCTGATAGACAGAAAAGAAAACAATAAGAAGTCTCGCTTAAAAGTGTAAGTTTTTAAAGAAATTTCTTATTAAATGTTCTTTAACTTGGTTTCGTGTGAAACCTCTTGGATTTAAATGAATGGTATACTGTAAAACACTGACAACTGAAATAGAATATTAAGAATAGATTTAAAACGGAGTTTCAGTGTCATTCCTGTGTTTTAGACTACTTTCCAATGAAATGAATATTTATCTTTCAATGAAATAGACGTAAAGACAATGAATTTCACCAGGCTGAAGAAATCTAATTTCACTTGATGCAAACATTCGTCGAATGAAGAAATTGAATAGTTGGTATGATTTACCTGGATATGTATTATTATCCACGTCTAGACCACCAGCAAGAGAGAATCCAAATGACGTCATCCTCATACCAAACTCAGATGGGGTGATATGCTATAAGATCGGTTACAAAGACACTTCAAAGTGAAACTGTAATGAAGATGATTGCTAAAAACACATCTTTTGAGCGGCACCTCTATGTAGCTGCAAAAGTGTTATAGAAAATCAGTATTTTTTCTCTCTCTTTCTTTTTTGTTGGTGTTCTTGCCGAACAATTGAATATACGTAATACTGTACAATTTATCTAAATGAAACCGAATTGGCCAAACTAAATTACACTCAATTCAATTAAGTATTTTTTTTTATCATCCATTATTTTGTGTACACGCATGACAAACACAAAATGATAGTGACCCTTTCCTAGACCCCACCCCCCCCCCCCCCCAAAAAAAAAAGAGTCTGCGAATCCATAATCGTTGTCAAAAGAAAACAAATACATATTGGGGAGGGGTGGGGACTATGGAAAATGATCTGCAAACTTGACGTCAATTTTAATTTAAACCCTCTCCTTATTCAAAACGTTTCATGAGGTGCGCCTACAAAGCAACATCAATCGTAGATTAGCCTACGCTTTACAATGAAAGAACAAACCTGAGAAGGAGTTGGTGATAGACCACGTGACCCAGTACTTAAGAAGATACTGACTCGACCCTGTTTTTCTTCTCCGAAATATGGTGCCGAGACTGCTAGATCTGTTGGAGGGAAGAGCGGAATAATCATGATAATGGTGCTTAGGTTATGAGATGTGCTGAAACGAAAAACCATAATGTGACATGGTGAAAGAACGTCAAATATGGTAATAAGCTTTTAAGATGTATGTGCAGTCTAATATAACTATTAAACATATTATTTTCATCACGTTCATTTTCATTAATTATTTTGTATGCCGATTCTATTTTCAGTCAAACTTATTTGAGGTAAATTTGCTCTAATTTCATCCTCATACGATGTATTTGTGAGTTCATATTGTTACTTATTCTTAAAATAAATAACACTGTCTTGATGGAGAACATAAAATCTGAATACATGTTCTTTGTTAAAATTAGATGCAATTAAAAGAGATGAATAGGCCTACCTGTATAGCCATCTCTGTTGATATCATCAACGGTTGTCATGGCAAACCCGAATCTTCCACCAGGCCACTCCCCACTGATCGTATGAGATACTGGAAACTGACCCTGAGCAAAAAATGAGTAGTATGGAAAAGATCAGTGGACAAAACAGAGCAATAAAATAATTACGTCAAACTCATCTTGTCTTTCATTAAAATCAATATCATTATGATATATTGAGTATACGAAATGAATATTATTATAGATATAACAAAAATAATAATATATGACATGACTACCCCGGGTCGAATGTTGCAAATGCAGATTAATGCCGAGCCAAACAACATTAGAGTTGCGGCAGGCACTCGAACCCCGTACCTTATTGTTTTAGCCACTAGACCAAAACACCTTTCTTTTATTCGCATTAACGTTAAACATGTGGTTTGAAACCGTCAACATTATGAACATTGCGTTTTCAACGTATTTCTTGTGTATTTATATCTAACAGTCAATTGAAAAAAGCAAGATAACGGTATTGTTATAATTTATGATTATTACATTTATTCTGTAGCGCCAGACCATCAAATTATTTATAATATGATAATAATGTATTATTACATTTTTACCAAACATGTAGGATACCAAGCTAAGAATCAATGGTATATGTTTTCTCTTATTGATATAATTCATATCGACATAAACATATCTGTACCTGTCCATCATTATAATAGATGTGAATCCTTCCCACCTCCCAGCCGTCAGAGATTGGCATGTTATAAGCAGTGTACATCGGGGCAGAGATAACTATGTCATCGAACCTTTCAGATCAATTAGGCGATTTTAAAAATGAAAAATGTTTTATGCACTTTAAGAGGGTATACAACACACACTATCCATTTCTAAAATATATCGATTTTGATCTTGAAACTAATAATAAACTAATATGATTAACACTGCATATGGCTCAAGTGTTTCCACCTGCATGCGGTTTTTTTTTTCTGCTGTGGATGTTGACATGCAGCACCTTTACGAAGTGAAGATTAATGTATACAATTTACGGTAAAATCAGTCAAAACAAACGGCTTTTCAGCGAGTCTGTGCACATTTTAAAAAGGAAGTGAAATTAACACAATAACATTGACGAACAGATATACAATGTAGAACAGCACATTTGAACATCTAATAACATATACTGAAGAAAAAAATTACCAAAAGTTAATAAAAATCTAATCATACTCATCAAATTATGTGTACCCAGTCCCCCCCCCCCCCCCCCCCCCACCGTTTATTCGGAAAGAGTGGTTTGATAACACCAAATAATTTCTTAACGTATGTGATGAAGATCAACAAATAAAATAAATTTCATGTGATGACATACCCGTCGCCGTTGAAGTCCGCAACGACCAAGGAATGTCCGAAGTATGAGCCGATTTGATGTCCATTAATAGTTAGGTAGCGATTTAGGGTTCTGTCGTAAAACTCAACCTTAGAAAGAACAACTCTGACATTTTAATTGTATAACATTATACCCCAGTGACAATTAATTGCTTCATGATCAGTTATTGGCATTCGTCGATTTCCAAACTGTAACCCCCTGACAAAACCCGATACCGAATACCCTATATTTCTCACCCTTAACTTATGTTTTACACCCATCGCGACCAAGACTTTATCCCAGATCCTTTTCACGAAATGAAGCCGGGGCAAATGTCGCCGGAGATCAAGGAGATAACGGATTATCCATTTACATTTTTAACGTGTTTTTCCCTCGACATAGTGTTACAGTGCCTAACCGCAAGTAATTACTCCCGGAAATCATACCTGGACGTGAACCATAAAATGAGTGATATTTTCTTTTCACTGATAATGCAATTAATCTAGTTGAGATGAGTCGAAATGAAGGAAACCAACCAATCCACGATGATTAACTGTACCACGTGGTATCCCCGTCACATACTCTACTAACCAATCCACGATGATTGACTGTACCACGTGGTATCCCCGTCACATACTCTACTAACCAATCCACGATGATTAACTGTACCACGTGGTATCCCCGTCACATACTCTACTAACCAATCCACGATGATTGACTGTACCACGTGGTATCCCCGTCACATACTCTACTAACCAATCCACGATGATTAACTGTACCACGTGGTATCCCCGTCACATACTCTACTAACCAATCCACGATGATTGACTGTACCACGTGGTATCCCCGTCACATACTCTACTAACCAATCCACGATGATTAACTGTACCACGTGGTATCCCCGTCACATACTCTACTAACCAATCCACGATGATTGACTGTACCAGTGGCGGATCCAGGGGGGGGCCGAAACGGCCGCGGCCCCCCCCCCCCTATTGGCGGCGCAAAAAAAGAGGAAAAAAAAAGAAAGGAGAAGAGAAGAAAAAAAGGAGAAGAGAAAAGAAAGGAGAAGAGAAAAGAAAAGAGAAGAGAAAAGAAAGAAGAGAGAGAGAGAGAACCCCCCCCCCCCACCTCACTCCCACTCCGGGGTCGGAGGGACCGATTTTGTGTTCCCAAAATTTCCGATAAAGGGTTACTTTTCACGCAACAAAGTCCGGCCGTAATACACACAAATCCGGCCCGCACTGACTTTACACACACCGAAGATAAAGGGGTGCTTTCAAACTAAGAGAGGGAACATACATGCGCGTACCCTAGATAACACTGAGTGGGTGGGGGGGGGGTGGGACCGTGGGAAGGGGAAGAGAAAAGTCGGGTGAGAAAGGGGGAAAGACAAGGAAATGGCGCTAAGTGACAGTAACGACGAATAAGGGAAAAACTGTAATCGGGAGATTTGGGGTCATTCCAGAAGGCTTGGGAAACGTTATTGAATAGACGGGGCTGGGCCGGCCGCATAAAATCTCGAGCCAGGGATTCAAAGTTAAACGTTACAAACAGCCCCTGCTTTTTGAAAAAAATTGAAAAGGGCACAATATTTGGGATGTCTTTCATATACTAAACAGTCAAATTTTGAATTAACGGTAGGGCCGCTTCACAACTCTTATTTTGCCCTTCATTTGGATTCAGCTCATACCAACTCGCTTGTGCTTATATTTGAACTCATGTTGGTAGTGATAATGGACAGCGGCGGCGATCCTGGGCCCGATAGAGAGACACGTCCCCCCGGAAATTTAGATATTTAGCTAGAAAGAAATATACATGTAGCGGAAAGAACGTACATGTTGGACTAAAGGATTTTCTAGAATGCATAATTACAGCATTCTACATTGCAAAATCTCGCTTGGTCGCTACGCCCCGGCCCTCGCCCGATAACACAAAACTAAGATATGACGCTCCCGGTCGCGATTATTTCATGGTTGGTGTATAAATAGATCTTTTTTCCCCTTTCATTTCTATTGACCTAATTGTATGCTATCAAAATCATGATTGTTTCATTTTCCCTTTAAATCATCTTCTTTCTCTAATAATTTAATGAAACGTCAAAACTTCCGCGCTTCACGCGGGAGAGGGAAGGGTGGACTCAATTCAGACAAGGATTAAGAGTCGAGAACGGTACTCTTTCTCTAATCATTTAATGAAACGTCAAACCTACCGCGCTTCGCGCGGGAGAGGGGGGGGGAACTCAATTCAGACAATGATTAAGAATCGAGAACGGTACAACGAATCGTCTTCTTTCTCTAATAATTTAATGAAACGTCAAAGCTTCCGCGCTTCGCGCGGGAGAGGGAAGGGTGGACTCAATTCAGGCAAGGATTAAGAGTCGAGAACGGTACTCTTTCTCTAATGATTTAATGAAACGTCATAGCTTCCGCGCTTCGCGCGGAAGGGGGTATGGAAACTGAATTCAGACAATGATTAAGAATCGAGAACGGTACAACGAATCGTCTTCTTTCTCTAATAATTTAATGAAACATCAAAGCTTCCGCGCTTCGCGCGGGAGAGGAGGGGAGGAACTCAATTCAGACAAGGATTAAGAGTCGAGAACGGTACTCTTTCTCTAATCATTTAATGAAACGTCATAGCTTCCGCGCTTCGCGCGGGAGGGGGTATGGAAACTGAATTCAGACAATGATTAAGAATCGAGAACGGTACAACGAATCGTCTTCTTTCTCTAATAATTTAATGAAACGTCAAAGCTTCCGCGCTTCGCGCGGGAGAGGGAAGGGGGACTCAATTCAGACAAGGATTAAGAGTCGAGAACGATACTTTTTCTCTAATGATTTAATGAAACGTCGAAGCTTCCTCGCTTCGCGCGGGAGGGGGTATGGAAACTAAATTTAGACAATGATTAAGAATCGAGAACGGTACAACGAATCGTCTTCTTTCTCTAATAATTTAATGAAACGCCAAAGCTTCCGCGCTTCGCGCGGGAGAGGGAAAGGGGGGGGGGACTCAATTCAGACAAGGATTAAGAGTCGAGAACGGTACTCTTTCTCTAATGAAACGTTAAGCATCTGCGCTTTGCGCGGAGGGGGAACTGAATTCAGACAATGATTAAGAACCGAGAACGGAACAACGAATCGTCTTCTTTCTCTAATAATTTAATGAAACGTCAAAGCTTCCGCGCTTCGCGCGGGAGAGGGAAGGGTGGACTCAATTCAGGCAAGGATTAAGAGTCGAGAACGGTACTCTTTCTCTAATGATTTAATGAAACGTCATAGCTTCCGCGCTTCGCGCGGGAGGGGGTATGGAAACTGAATTCAGACAATGATTAAGAATCGAGAACGGTACAACGAATCGTCTTCTTTCTCTAATAATTTAATGAAACATCAAAGCTTCCGCGCTTCGCGCGGGAGAGGAGGGGAGGAACTCAATTCAGACAAGGATTAAGAGTCGAGAACGGTACTCTTTCTCTAATCATTTAATGAAAAGTCATAGCTTCCGCGCTTCGCGCGGGAGGGGGTATGGAAACTGAATTCAGACAATGATTAAGAATCGAGAACGGTACAACGAATCGTCTTCTTTCTCTAATAATTTAATGAAACGTCAAAGCTTCCGCGCTTCGCGCGGGAGAGGGAAGGGGGACTCAATTCAGACAAGGATTAAGAGTCGAGAACGATACTTTTTCTCTAATGATTTAATGAAACGTCGAAGCTTCCTCGCTTCGCGCGGGAGGGGGTATGGAAACTAAATTTAGACAATGATTAAGAATCGAGAACGGTACAACTAATCGTCTTCTTTCTCTAATAATTTAATGAAACGCCAAAGCTTCCGCGCTTCGCGCGGGAGAGGGAAGGGGGGGGGACTCAATTCAGACAAGGATTAAGAGTCGAGAACGGTACTCTTTCTCTAATGAAACGTTAAGCATCTGCGCTTTGCGCGGAGGGGGGAACTGAATTCAGACAATGATTAAGAACCGAGAACGGAACAACGAATCGTCTTCTTTCTCTAATAATTTAATGAAACGTCAAAGCTTCCGCGCTTCGCGCGGGAGAGGGAAGGGTGGACTCAATTCAGACAAGGATTAAGAAACGAGAACGGTACAACGAATCGTCTTCTTTCTCTAATAATTTAATGAAACGTCAAAGCTTCCGCGCTTCGCGCGGGAGAGGGAAGGGGGACTCAATTCAGACAAGGATTAAGAGTCGAGAACGATACTTTTTCTCTAATGATTTAATGAAACGTCGAAGCTTCCTCGCTTCGCGCGGGAGGGGGTATGGAAACTAAATTTAGACAATGATTAAGAATCGAGAACGGTACAACGAATCGTCTTCTTTCTCTAATAATTTAATGAAACGCCAAAGCTTCCGCGCTTCGCGCGGGAGAGGGAAGGGGGGGGGGGACTCAATTCAGACAAGGATTAAGAGTCGAGAACGGTACTCTTTCTCTAATGAAACGTTAAGCATCTGCGCTTTGCGCGGAGGGGGGAACTGAATTCAGACAATGATTAAGAACCGAGAACGGAACAACGAATCGTCTTCTTTCTCTAATAATTTAATGAAACGTCAAAGCTTCCGCGCTTCGCGCGGGAGAGGGAAGGGTGGACTCAATTCAGGCAAGGATTAAGAGTCGAGAACGGTACTCTTTCTCTAATGATTTAATGAAACGTCATAGCTTCCGCGCTTCGCGCGGGAGGGGGTATGGAAACTGAATTCAGACAATGATTAAGAATCGAGAACGGTACAACGAATCGTCTTCTTTCTCTAATAATTTAATGAAACATCAAAGCTTCCGCGCTTCGCGCGGGAGAGGAGGGGAGGAACTCAATTCAGACAAGGATTAAGAGTCGAGAACGGTACTCTTTCTCTAATCATTTAATGAAAAGTCATAGCTTCCGCGCTTCGCGCGGGAGGGGGTATGGAAACTGAATTCAGACAATGATTAAGAATCGAGAACGGTACAACGAATCGTCTTCTTTCTCTAATAATTTAATGAAACGTCAAAGCTTCCGCGCTTCGCGCGGGAGAGGGAAGGGGGACTCAATTCAGACAAGGATTAAGAGTCGAGAACGATACTTTTTCTCTAATGATTTAATGAAACGTCGAAGCTTCCTCGCTTCGCGCGGGAGGGGGTATGGAAACTAAATTTAGACAATGATTAAGAATCGAGAACGGTACAACTAATCGTCTTCTTTCTCTAATAATTTAATGAAACGCCAAAGCTTCCGCGCTTCGCGCGGGAGAGGGAAGGGGGGGGGGACTCAATTCAGACAAGGATTAAGAGTCGAGAACGGTACTCTTTCTCTAATGAAACGTTAAGCATCTGCGCTTTGCGCGGAGGGGGGAACTGAATTCAGACAATGATTAAGAACCGAGAACGGAACAACGAATCGTCTTCTTTCTCTAATAATTTAATGAAACGTCAAAGCTTCCGCGCTTCGCGCGGGAGAGGGAAGGGTGGACTCAATTCAGACAAGGATTAAGAAACGAGAACGGTACAACGAATCGTCTTCTTTCTCTAATAATTTAATGAAACGTCAAAGCTTCCGCGCTTCGCGCGGGAGAGGGGGGGGGTGGGGGAACTCAATTCAGACAATGATTAAGAATCGAGAACGGTACAACGAACCGTCTTCTTTCTCTAATAATTTAATGAAACGTCAAAGCTTCCGCGCTTCGCGCGTGAGGGGGTATGGAAATTTGAAACTGAATTCAGACAATGATTAAGAATCGAGAACGGTACAACGAATCGTCTTCTTTCTCTAATAATTTAATGAAACGTCAAAGCTTCCGCGCTTCGCGCGGGAGAGGGAGGGGGGGGGACTCAATTCAGACAAGGATTACGAATCGAGAACGGTACTCTTTCTCTAATAATTTAATGAAACGTTAAGCTTCTGCGCTTTGCACTGGAGGGGGGAATCTGAATTCAGAGAAGGATTGAGGGTCGAGAATGGAACAACGAATTATCTGCTTTCTCTAATAATTTCATTAAACTATGAAAGGTCAATGCTTCAGCGCTTCGCGCGGGAGGGGGAAAACTGAATTCAGACAAGGAATAAGAGTCGAGAATGGTACAACAAATTGTCTTCTTTCTCTAATATCAATTAATGAAAGGTCAAAAAGCGGGAGGGGGAGCAGGGGGGGGGGGAGGAACTAAATTCAGACAAGGATTAGGAGTCGAGAATGGTACAACGAATCCTCTTCTTTCTCTAATAATTTCATGAAACATTAAAGCTTCTGCGCTTCGCGCGTAATGGGGGGGGGGGGGACAGCGAGCTGCCAGAATATGAATTTGTTAAATCTTTTCTCGTATATTTTGGTGATAAATAACACTTTCACAAAATACATATTATCCTCAAATTTTTGCTCGCTCGCTTCGCTCCCTAGCCGAATTGTGAAACCAGAAAATTACTTTTTCGGGCAAGAGGCTTCAGCCTCCCCCCCCCCCCCCCCCGATGAAAATGTCAAAACAAAATACCGGTATGGTGCTTCTAATATGACCTTATCAGTATTGGTATGTTGAGTTGAAAAACGGTCGGCGCAATTTTCAAATTTCCGGCCCCCCCTATTGGAAAATCCTGGATCCGCGCCTGCTGTACCACGTGGTATCCCCGTCACATACTCTACTAACCAATCCACGATGATTAACTGTACCACGTGGTATCCCCGTCACATACTCTACTAACCAATCCACGATGATTGACTGTACCACGTGGTATCCCCGTCACATACTCTACTTCACCATCTCCAAAGAAATCTCCGAATGAAACCGAATGACCTGTAGAAATACAATTTGAACAAATAACATATAAGGTATTAATGGATGGATTAGGACAATGTAGACCACATCGTTTTCCCAGATGCTGTCAATTATTGACTCGGTTAATTTTTTTGTAAATATTATATACAGTGATGCACTAGGGGATACGATATGTGTACTCTTTCCCAAAGTCATATTATGTGAATGATGTGGGGCTCCAAATATACATTTTAAATATCCATTTTAAATATCCATCGTGATTTTTAAAACTTTTAGTTCCATAACATCATTAAATTTAGACAATACCTCTGTAATTGTTGTCAAAAGCAAGATCATCGACAACTTCTGTCCTTCTGTAAGTATTACTTGTTAGGTTCCCAACAAGTAAATCTCCTGAAAAATGTATTTAAAAAAAAGAAATATATCTTTGTTAAGAATTTGAGATCGCTTTGCAATAAAGCTAATGGTATAGTGTCTACCAAGTTGGTTATCCTTTCCCAAAATCTTATTCTCGTTTGTAATGGTATTTGAATCACGATTCAATACGACAGGTGCTTAAGGATTGTGTGCTGTAGGCGAGGCGCCGATGGTGGCTCAGTGAACGGGGATCTTCGAAAGAGTCCCCTCCCTTATACTTCACGGGCACGAGAACCCCCTTCCATGTTTGCCCCTACAACACGCAAGTCAATGGGACTCCGAGGATAACCAATCCAGCCGGATTCCAGGTCCGACCTCGGCCGTGTCTCGGGCAGGCGAAGGCCGGGAACCGACGATGGAACAATCTTCTTCCATGGATAACCAATCGAGCGGGACACCGGGTGCGACCTCGGCCGTGCCTCTGGCAGGAGACGGCCGGGAACCGACGATTGAACAATATTCTTCCATGGATAACCAATCGAGCGGGACCCCGGGTCCGACCTCAGCCGTGCCTCTGGCAGGGGACAGACGAGAATCAATGGTGGACCAGTGATCCCCCGAGGATAACCAATCCAGCCGGATTCCAGGTCCGACCTCGGCCGTGTCTAAGGCCGGGAACCGACGATGGAACAATCTTCTTCCATGGATAACCAATCGAGCGGGACCCCGGGTCCGACCTCGGCCGTGCCTCTGGCAGGAGACGGCCGGGAGCCGACGATTGAACAATATTCTTCCATGGATAACCAATCAAGCGGGACCCCGGGTCCGACCTCAGCCGTGCCTCTGGCAGGGGACAGACGAGAATCAATGGTGGACCAGTGATCCCCCGAGGATAACCAATCCAGCCGGACTCCATTCCGACCTCGGCCGTTTCCCTGGCAGGGGAAGGTGCCGATGGTGGCTCAATGCACATGGACCTTCGAACGAGTCCCCTGCCCTACATACTTCACGAGTACGAAAACCCCCTTCCATTTTTGCCCCTACAACACGCAAGTCAATTGGAAATTTTCCTTATAACCCGAAAGTCAAGGCGTCCAGCGGGACTCCGAGTCCCCCTTCGACCGTGTCTCAGGGAGGGGACAGCCGAGAATCGATGGTGAACCAGTGTTCTGCCGTGGATGACCAATCCAGTGGGACTCCAGGTCCCCCTTCGGCCGCACCCCCCGCATAGGACAGCCGATAATCGATGGTGGACCAGTGATCCTCCGAGGATAACCAATCCAGCCGGACTCCAGGTCCGACCTCGGCCGTGTCCCTGGCTGGGGAAGGCGCCGATGGTGGCTCAGTGAACGGGGATCTTCGAAAGAGTCCCCTCCCTTATATATACTTAAGGGGCACGAGAACCCCCGTCCATTTTTGCCCCTACAACACGCAAATCAATAGGAAATTTTCCTTGAAACCCGAAAGTCAAGGCGTCCAGCGGGACTCCGGGTCCGCCCTCGTTAGTGTCTCCGGGAGGGGACAACCGAGCATCGATGGTGGACCAATGTTAACCCTGATGAATATTCTATTCATATTATGAAGTGCAACGTTATATGAAAAGCTCAAACTTTCACTGACCGGTTTCTCTCATTTTTCTGCTTCTATTAAAACCAACTTAATATCAGGGTTTACTGATTTACTGATTTCGTTTCATTGTCCAATTCTGTGATGTAAATATATGCAATATCCATACACTTACCCTGGCCAAAGAAAGCTCCAACCGATCCAATTATCCATTCCGTCTGATAAATGGAAACAAATCATAAAATATCATTATCCTTTTTTAAATATAGTGACGCCATGATGAGGCTCTCATTGAATATTCCATAATCCATTGTAATTCTATATACTTCTTTGTTGTACTTATTGCTGACATCCACTTCTCACCCTCCCGGAGATAAAATACCCGGAGATAATAATTATACAAGTCATGTAAATAAAACGTAATAACTGGCGGATACCCTGAAGTCTACACTTTCTGTTGGGTGCTTTTCCACTCGATAAAAATCATGGTGAAACTTTTCTTCCCTCATATTTCCAGGTACCTCCTTGATCAAATTATACATGTATGTATACTGATGAAGTTATTATTATCAGAATGGATGATAAGATGAGTTTAATATACCTCAGAGATGGTGGCACTGAATCCTGCCTCACACGGTAGATAGTTGATCATTGAAGGTTCTGTATACAAACGAGAGAATCATACAAAACAGTGAATCAAAGTCTCCAAATGTTGCATTTCAAAAGACCCGAATAATATCATTTGTTCGTAATGTCTCTATTCATGATTTCGTTTTATTAATCGCAACATCGTTATAAGGTGGCGGGACAATTTACATTTGGGTTATTACAAGCGTAACGGACTGACATATTCCGAGCACATTCAATTCCGAAAAAGACTATTATAGACATTTAATACAACTTTCAAATTAATGATACCACATTTTAACTAATAATAGTGGGTTCTTGTAATATCGCTTATATCTGTCAAACTTGACACTCCTGGCGCTGCATTGCTGCCATAATGGCGCTCTAGCATTTCAAGGAAGTAATTTCTACCTGGAACCCATTTACCTCACCTGGATCAAGTGTGGCAAATATAGATTAATTTCTTACCAACGGACATTAGGGACTTTTAGATTTGCGTGGACTGATACACGTGACGTCCATTCAAGGCAGTGCATTAAAAGGACGTCGATCGTAGCAATCCACGTTGTCGTTGTGCAAATCTAAAAGTCCATATTAGTGCCGCAGCGGGACTCAAACCGCGAACCATGTGATCCACAGTCTGGTGACTTATCCACTATAGGCCTAGACCACCTCGTAATACTTTCTCAATATTTTCCTTTCAACCATTCTTTATATTTCTGAACGACGTTATGACTCTTTAATAATCATTAGCATGCTACTTAAAGAAATACAATGGAGCTATAGGCAAGGTCAAAGAGAGGTACGTCTCATCCTCTTTTTCAGATATTTTTCCTTTCTTATTTTTCCTTATTTTTCCTTATCATTCCTCTCCCCTTAAAATCTCTCTCCCTCTCACTTTCTCTATCCCGTTCTCTTGCTCTCTCTTTATTTTTGTCTCTCTTATTTTATTTGTTTGTCTATCCTCTCTCTCTCTCTCTCTCTCTCTCTCTCTCTCTCTCACACACACACACACACACACACACACGTACTTTAATTCTCTCTCTAATGAAATATCTCACTCTCTCTCTCTCTCTCTCTCTTCCACTCTCTTTTTCACTCTCTCTCTCTCTCTCTTGCTTTCTTCTCCTTTTCACCAGTAGATGGGGCATAACGCAACATACAAATTGATCTAAGTAACAGGGAAATGAAGATTACTTACCTAATGATTTACATGGATTGAAAGGTTTGATGTCAGTGAAGTTCTGACTGGCAAGGTAACAACCTCCAATGAGGAATCGTCCTGTATTTGGGCTGCTGTCTACATAGTAAAACCATGTGTATAAAGGCCGACAAACCTGTTTATTATGGAGGAAAATAGAATAACGATATATCGTTCTTCTATAGCGTATACCAGGACCGAAGGCCCTCTTAATGCACTTTACGATTTACAAGTAAAAAAAAATATTCTCAAAAAGATAATTTTTTAGTGTTTTCTTAAAATCTTCGACGTCTGTCATTGAGCTTGGTGAGAACGTGCTGTGAGGATGACCCGTATAGACGTCTTGGTGTGACGTAAGATATGAACAATTTTGAGATGTAGTCTGGACACATGCCATGGAGAGCTTTGATTATATTCATTTTGCTCCACTGCGACATTCGTCGATTTCCTAACTTTAACCCCCCTGACCAAGATTCGTTTTGCGTCACTCTGGCACTCATCATGTTCTATGTACACAGTCATGTTCGAGCCACATCTGGTTCTAAATATTACATTATGTTAAAAGTATTATTTTATAAAACACCTAGAAAAAGATCTTAAAGATATAAACTAATATGTATGCGGCCATTTCGCTACCAAATACATGAATACAAAAATCATGTAGGTCTATATGGTCACCGCAACATACGAATATGAGGATACTCGGTATCTAGTTGCCCATAATTATCCTGTTTTCTAAATGTTTCAAGCGAGAGAAACAAACGAGCAAGGTGAACAATTATATTCGATTATAAACATACATTATATATTTCGGCGCCTCGTTGTCAAATAAAAGATTATTCGGGCAACTCGTTACCTACATAATCATAAAGGTATTGAGACACTCCGCTGCCTCAAAATCATCCCGTTTCCAAATAGTGTGAGAGAGACTATTCCTTCGTGAAAATGCATGGCGACTTATGATTTGTTTTTCACTAAATTAAAAATATTCCAAAATATATATATCACGACTCAATTTCTGTCGCGGTACCCCTAAAGATTTCTTGCGGCACCCCGGTTGAAAAGAATGTTGGCCCACTTCATTGATAACCATCATCATTACTGTATACTTGGCAATAAGACAGTATACAGGAGTATTGTAATATATATCCGGATACAAACTTGGCTACAGGAAGGAAGAAATCAATTACTCCCGCTTTTTTGTAACGTGAATCCTGTTCAGCCTTTGCGTATATCGATCGGATGTAGCCCCTAGAGACAACGAAGAAGACCCCAAGTCGGCGAAGTCATCCTCATTCAACCCATGGACAGACTTTGTCAATGGTATAATACCAAAAATATAGCACTGATTTATATTGCGAAACACAACAAAATGACGAAAAAAAAACTTATCGACAGGCAAGGGTTGTCAAACGATCCTGAAATTAAGGTCGATTTTTCTATTTAAAGCCCATCCGCTAAACTCCAGCAGAATGAAAGAGTGCGATTGTACACAAAATAAATCAGATAAATTTCCTCTCAATCATACCTCGTAGAGAGCATGGTGTTACATCACAAGAAGAAATAACACTCACTAATAAGGCCCCCGAAAAAGCCCACATTTACATTTTTTTCAAACCTTGCCCCATAAAATTGTCGTGGGAGTAAAACAGAGTATAGTTACTTTTCATCTTATCGGATAATTAAAAATTGAATTCACTTCCAGACTTAAAATTCAAGTAAAATTTTGATCGAGTAAACTCACGCCCACACATGCATGTACACATCAACACAAATATTTCAAAGAATTGACTGTATCATTGTATAGACGGATTGCCAATTAAATATATGTTGATTACTAACTCGTCGCCATATACATTAACGTTAACATTAGTAGTATCCATTTTTAATTTTTTAAAAGATGGGATTTAAACAGTAAGAACAAGGGGCATATTTTGACAATAAATTTTACGTAATTGATGAAGAGTTGGGTTTAACACAGGTTGCTTTGAAAAAAGAAGAAGAAAGAGAAGATTCAAGAAAAGAACTTTTAAAATAAACGAAAGAAAACAAATATTACTTACTAGCACTGTCCCATCAGGTCCAGAGCTTGTTATGGTTGCACCAAGCATCTGACCGGACTTGTTGGTTATCTGGTCTCCTTCAATAAACTCGTTTCCTGTCAGATTGTAAGATCTGATATTAAGGTCTATTATATTCTCCTTAAAGAAATCAACTCTTCTTTATGCACAATGTCAATTCCATTTTAGCAGATACGATTTGAAATTTCAAACTAAAAGCCGCCCAAAAGCTAGCAGTGAGGTATCCAGGGACTAAAGCCCATTTGGAGAACAAGGAGGAGATAGAATAATTAATGTTTGGCTGTCAAGGGCGGTAGCCCCACCTTTAATGAATGACGAAAACGGCGAAACAAGAAAGAGAAAAGGGAAATGGAAAAAACGGAGCATTAATAAAATTACTCGACCCTATCTAACACCTCCCCCCCCCCTGAATATAGCCTTGTTGATTCGCATTACATTCGTCGTGTAAGAGTTGTGTCCCTCCCGTTAAACAAGGGGTGTATGGGGATTGCATTCTAGACTGGATACCCCACTTAACATACAGAATAAAGTCCGGTGAAAAGCAAATTACTTTAGCGAAACCGTGATGGGTGAAAATAGATTAGATCGACATTTATTTTCTTTCTCCTTTATTTACCTGACGTATCAAAGACTATTGTATCACAGGGAGATGGGGATGATGAAGATGTTGTTGTATCGGGTGATGTCGTAGGTATCGGAGAACGCGGTGTCGATGAGGAGACCATCTCTGAGAAGAGGGGTGAATCCGAGGAAGAAGATGTTGGTCTTGTCGATAGCAACCAATCTGATGACCTAAATGATGACGATGTTGATGATGATGACGATGATGATGGAGGTGGTGGTGGTGGTGATAGTGGTGGTGGTGATAGTGGCGATGGTAATGGTGGTTCCTGGTGGATATTGACTGGACATCTGTAGACCTCCCCACCCCTATAGACCCCTGGTTGTTCCGTCTGGGCACGAGGTGCTCCCACCAATACCCTTGTAAATAAAATACAAATACAAATATGTATTCATACAGATTTTAACCAAACTCAGAAAAACATTTACTGCCCGCTCCCACGCTCCACAAATACCTGCTAACGTCAATAAACTACTGAATTGAATTGAACCAAAATGAATTTTACGCCATTTTTTTTATAATGTATTAAACATTAGGGCATATTACGTCTTTGTGACGTGCCTCAATACGAAATAGTACATCCATTCATCCAAAATCATATGATGCGGGATTAATCGTTATCTGCATATACACTATTTCACATCATTTGAAATGTGGGTATTATGGAAACATTTAACAAACTAAAAGAGAAGTATTGCAAATGGCAGGGCCATTTTCGTAAAGAAATGAATTCATTGCATATGAAACATTAGGGCCCATTGTTACGAATAATTGTATCTTAATAGGCGGGATGCAATAGGCTATTTTCGTAATAAGTCTTTGTGAAGTGCCTCAACACAAATTATTTAAATCACCTGATAAGAATAATAGTATTTCAATATTCAGAATACAAACTGCATCTATTAAGTGTTGCCAGTTAGGTCAAGCCATAATGTTTGTCCAGCCCGGCAGCAACTAATGTATACAGTTCGGATTCTGTCTATTGAAATACTATTATTCTTGTCAGGTGAATGAAATAATTTGTATAGAGACACTTCACAAAGACTTATGCATTAAATTTGATAACATTACGAAAATGGCCTATTTGCATACATACGTGATGTTATGTAGGACAAGCTATAATGTTTATCCGACCTGCCAACAGCAAATAGGCCTAGGTACACATTGCATTCCTTGAAATACGATAATAATATTTACCAGATTAATCTAATAGCTCGTCGAAAGATAAAGGTGTATACATTGAAATACATTTTGAAAATGGTCGATTCACGTTTGAGAGATGATATCATTATTATAGCTTAGTTTCTTTTTACAATTATGCCTCATTTGTAATGATTATTGAAATATGCTGTTTATCTGAATAAGGGGCCACGCCAAAAAGAAAGGTTGCAAAATGCATGTTATCACCTGGTTGTCGACAGCAGGGGCGGATCCAGCCGGCGGCAGGGGAGGGGGCCCAATTCGTGAATAAATATTGAGCGGCGAAACAGCCAGTCAGTGAAAAGCGGGAGAGGGGGGGGGGGGTAAGAAGCAAGGGGCCCGTCTTCAAATAAAGGTAAAATTAACGTGTTTTATCTTTTTTTCAGGGGAGGGCACCCCTCAAGGATCCGCCACTGGCCGACAGTGAATTCTGCATTTGTTTGGATGAACCCCGCAGCGACAACCCCCGCCCCATGATGTGGAAAGTGCAAGGCCAGGCCATGGCCCCGTAACATAAAAACTTTCAATCAATCGCAAAATGGCAATGGCCAATCAGTATCATCATGGCAAAAGGCTACAACAGTTAACCAATCCGAAAGTTTTTTTCAAATTTGATATTAATTACAAACAGTTGTATTAAGGGGGCCAATTAGGTAAACAATAATATTGTTTAAAATACTAAAGGCCTGTCCCGAAATAGTCATCCTATTCCACCGTAAGAGTTGACCCCTCCACAAATTGGGTGATATTCCTTAGCATACGGACCAATTTTTTTTTTTTCAGAGGAAAGAGCTATGGGTGTAAATTTGAAGACAAAGAATAGATACAGGTATGACTGCTGCGAAATGCACATATTTTGAAGCATTGTCTCTTCTTGCGTGGAAGATGTATCGATAAAAAAAAAAAAATTTGGTTTTGTTTGTTTTGATTTGTTGAATATTTTATGTTTGTAAACAAAATTATCATACATGATACTGCTTTTGATAAAATACCGTTTTTAAATGAATAAGCCAATCGCCTATGAACTCAAGGAACATTTGTTTACAAATAAAGTATAAGTCAAACTTTTTGACCTTAATTACTTCATTTTGACCATCATGAGGTATTTGTAGACATATTTATCTAACTTAAATAAGTGAAAGTAAAATATGCTAAAATATACATCTAAAAATTTCGTTACTGGAGGTTTAATTGCTAGTTGTTTAGGAATCAACTGTTTTGCCCAACTTACATGTTTTCGTCCCCCTCTCGATGTAGTTCTACGGCATAGCCAAAATAGCTTCCTGGTGTTCCTCGGTAGATGCGCGGAGATGAAACATCGATGTTGAAAGCATGATTGCAGGCAAAGGACATCATCATCAAGACTAGCTGAATGACGAGATGAAACAGGTTGGATGGACGTCGTGTCCACGGTTGAACACAAGCAGGATCTGGGAAGAGACGCATTTTTTTCACCCGAATAACTGATCATAGAATATGTTCCAATATTTAAATTTTATTCACTGAAATGTATCTGTATAGCAGAGTTCATCTCATTCACTGTTCATTGAGACAGTGCATGCCTTAGAGTGCATGTGCTGTCATCATGATCATTATGCTAACTGCAAGAAATTTCTGAACATTATCTGACCTGGAAGTTCTAGAACTAATATAAATTATGCACGCAGGTCGTTGTCGGGAAGTAAGGAGATTGACCCCCCCCCCCCCCCCCCGTGTGCCTTCCACTTTCGTAAGTTCTGTCATAACATCCGATATTTGGGCTACCGAATATTTCGATATCATCTCAACAAATAACTGAAAGCTGTTATTCGGCACTCGTTTTGGTTGCTACTTTCTTTAAATTATTGTATTAATTATCTGTCCCTTGTTCTTCACTTTTCCTTCTGTTACCCCTGTACATAACTTCACAATGAACTTGTTTACTTCCTTGTTAATTGTTCTTTCCGTTGGCCTCCTCTTTACATGTCTTCTTTTGCATCCTCCTTTTCTTTCACTATTTCCCTCTACTCAATATAAATTAACATTTTGTTTGCATGTGGTCTTAGTTCTGTCGCCTTTTAACCTCTTTGATGAAACCACTCACACACAATATTATTCATTGTTCAAAAGTAATATCGGTTGTGTTTGTGTTGTTTCCTTAACAGGCTTTTATATTTCTGCGTTTCAATGTGTTTATTGTGGCCCCATCGAGCACGCTGGCAAAAATATGAAGTAGACCTTTTCGCTTCAACGTGTTATTTGTTACTTGTAGAGATAATCCCGATGGCAGCTACCATACAGCTAAACTGGGATGTCCGTGCAACGTGTATTTTCTTATGAAGAAACAAACTCGGAAGAAATCTGATATAGTATAAAAAAACGAATTCATGTACATACATGAGAGTGATTACAAAACAAAAATATAACGCATATCACTGGACGGGACTTGTGTACTGACTCGATAAGAAGAAGATCATAGGAGCACATCCGTGTGGGCATTGTTTATGCTTTTGTAACAGGCTTCTTTTTCTTTTTCTTTACGCCCCCCCCCCCCCCCAAAAAAAAAAAAATAACACATCTATCACAACATATTATTGGCCTATCTTGAATAAATTTCAGGCGAGATAATAATAAAACATTGCTATGTATCCAATTAATTTATTTTGCTATTGTGATACTTCAGTCACAACGCAGAACCGACCAAACACCGAAACCCAACCGACCACATTTTGGTCATTCCCGGTAATGTAATTGTTTGTTATTTATGTTGTCGGTCTGGTGTCGGTTGCATTGGCGTGACTGAGGTATTAGATCCTATAGCTCGATATAATTATAAGTTAGCACAGAATAGAAACAGGAGCGACTAGCATCAAGGGAAGTCAGATTTGTTACTAGTATGTAGACCGTGTTTCCTGTAAAGTATATGCAATCATCTCTTGCCATATGCTGCTAACACTACACCTATATACAAGCATTTCCGTTCTTGCAAATTTAAAACATCAACAGGAAATAACATTTGATATCATAGTGATTGTAACTGATCAAAGAATGTCCAATCATCGGGTAAGGATGTAATATTTTATTACGGGGCTTGAAAATTGTGGATTTTGCTGGTTAAGACAAGTGACGTGAGTGACTTATAAGAAAAGTTTATGGTGTCAAATAGGCAAAACATCAAGAAAATAAGTATGTTTCTTGAGTTTGTTATACAGTAGGGTACCATTAGGGCCTGAACTTTGTGTTTTCATACACTGTATGATTGCAGCTGTCAATATAAACAAAATTTACTTTTCGCATATACATTTTAGGGGTTATCATTTTAAGACCTTCATTAGGGGATATGTTCGAGGGGGGTGCATGGGGCAAACTTGCAAGGGGTAAAATTTCAAGAAAAAACGCGTAAAAATTCGCTAAGGGTGTGAATTTGACCAATGAGTAATACTTGTTTAGGGGGTTGTAAAACATGTGGTCACGCGTGTGTACATAGTATTATTCTGACACAAATTAATAAAGCCAGACTAACACTATGTAGGAAGAGAGGAAAGGGGGGGGGGAAGGAAGAAACGAGAAGAGAGGAGGGGAAGGGGAGGGGGAGGGGGGAGGGGAGGGGAGGGGGGTAGTGAGCACTACTTTTTGTTTTCCTTCGAAAATTTAAAAATTCGCACCCCCCCCCCCTTCCCCACTGAGCACCAGGGGAGGGGGCCCGTCTCCAAATAAAATAAAGGTAACATCAATCTGTTTTTACCTGATTTTCCCAGGGGTGGGGGCCTAGGCCCCCTGCCCCCCCCCCCCGGATCCACCACTGCCTCTTAGACAACAAAGCACTTATTCTCTAAGATCTCAATCAAATTTTAAACAATACCACTGCATTAAACAAAACGCTTCCAGTGCAGCTCCATTCCATTCTTTATAAATCTTCATCAAGGTCATTTTTTTTTCCTATTGTTCAGTACTGTTTTTTCCCAATATTTCTTATCAACTAAATTTTGTTCTACATAATACTGAATTTACTTTGTTTATATTATATTTGACTGTATTATATTATGTCTGTTTATATTTTGTTTGTTTTGAAACGGAAATAAAATCTGAATCTGAATCTGAATCTAATATTAATATAAATTGTATTTTTAGAATTGCACTATGTGAATGACTTGTGATCTCGATTTTCAATCATTTCTGAATGTTTCTTGCCATCTCCCCCCTCATCTGTAATGATAAGAACCCCTTTGTCTGTCTCCCCCCCCCCCCCCTTCATCTAACTCTCTCTTACTCTCTTTCATCCCCCTTCTCTCTCTCTCTGGGTCTCTCTTTCTTTCGTCCCCCTTCTCTCTCTCTCTCTCTCTCTCTCTCTCTCTCTTCTTCCCTCTTTCTTTCTCTCTTTCTCTCTCCCTTTCCTACACTTTTCTCTTTCCTTGTTAACAAAAATTTGAATTTGATCAATGAATTTTTATCAAATGTCTATTTGTTTGATTTTGTATTTATGTTATATTTTGTGTTATTTGAATTTGAATTGCAATTGTATTGTATCTTTGTCAAATGGATCGCAATTCAGCAATTGGCTGCGATGATCTTTTTAATGAACCATTTCTATTCAATATTATATTCTATTACAATATTGAATTTGTACCATTCTGCTTTCAAGACGTTAATTCATTCATTATTTAGAAATGACTGCTAATAAGTCATGTTGGCTAAGTCATGCTAAATAGGAAATGATATACATTTACTTCTATTTTCAATTGATGAGGATAATGGTGGTTTCTAGCTCGTATATTGCCGGTAGATAGGACAACTAATACTTGAAGAGGCATGTTAGTGTGCCAGTGGATCTCGAGAGGCGTGGTCAGGCGGTACCTGGTCAGACATGGGTCATGTGACTCTAGTCATATGACTTGATAAAGTATGACACACCAATAGTCAATATGAATACTCGTTCAAAATTTCTTGAAATAAGCCTTCAAAAAAACAATAATCTACAATATTTTACCATAAAATTTATGAAAAACTTAGTAATTAATTATTGCATTTATTCTTTTGTATCATCAAGAAATAACTTTGTTCGTTTAATATTCAAGGAAATTAATAATAATTCAATCTTGCGCGCTTCATATACTATGTTTGCAGGCAAAAGGTCCAAATATGCAATGCAGTGATCAGTACAGTACAAGTTGACTGTTGAGCTTGTCTGATTATACGTCTGGCCGTCATTTGTTCTATATATTTTACAAAGAATTTGCAACTTCACCACGAGAGTATGTATTGTTAATTTTAACTGTTATTCATTCTATATGTTGATTATTGTGGGTGTATGCATAATATGTCGTGGCTGCTACTGCACTGCTAGTGTGCAAGCTTGGCCTTTTTGGGGAGGTGTAGTCGGCCGTACTACTCGGCTACTCTGAACCTGGGGCTGAGGCAGAGCTCGCGCTCGCCGACTCATCAGGCCAGACCCGGGCCGCGTAATTTTTTTTCCCACTTAAGCCCCAGTATGAACTCATTTGCATAGAGCCAATCAGACCTCATCTTGTCAATAACAAGCTTTATGCTAGACCGAAAGCTTCAGTCTCTCTAATCGTCGGTTGTTCCACTGAGACTACGTCTGGCTCCACTAGACCTCCGATTATAGGTCTAGAGACTGAAGGATGGGGACCTCTTACTGTGAGGGACTGTACAGAACAAATGGTTCGGTTCGACCGGACCGCGATGAATGAGATATGCAACGAAATTTTCACTCTTTACATCCTCATAACTGCTGCAATTATAATAAAAATTAAAAATAACATATATATAGCTTATTTGACTTACGATAGCTTGCTCATTTAGATCCTAAATTAATGATTAATCCGAGAAAGTCTCGTCGTCAACATTATCCGTCTTGGTTTTAGTTGATGAATATTAATTTTTTCTTTTCGAACGTCCAATAGCTACCGTAGCTACGTACGAGTCGGCCCAGCTTGACCAACGAACTCCCAAGAAACGAGTGCTCTGATTGGCCATTTGGCTATGTTTTGGTAGGTGGACCCGGAAATATATCGGCCGCCGGGTAATATTTCGAATGCATGAACGTACCGTTTCACAGTTCGGAAATACAAATTGGATAATTCATATAAGTAAGTCCGTAAATTATACATTTAATATTAAGTTATCAAATTTTGATAACTGTAATTAGGACAAATGACATACCGACCTAATTTACATCTGATTTAGAAATCAGAAAATTAGATCTAAATAAAGAAAATCGGGGAGAAAATGTTTTGACATAAAAAGCTGCCATTGTTGGCTATAGCTACCCCCACGGTACGAGATCTCTGGGTTGCCATCTGTATTGGGGAATGACAACAAATGTCAGTTTTATTAAAGAAATGACCCAAATCAGATGGTTATTGCTGTCTAGCTTTATGCATGCTAAAGATGCGCGGCGAAATTCAAAACTGTGCGAAGCTCTGGGCTTCAGCAATTTGATAAGCTGATAGGTCTAGATCTAGATCTATTCTATAGAGGGATTCTGAACGATTTTTCAATTTTCAATTTGGGATCGTTTTTCACCATTTTTGTTTGATATTTGAATTAAAAATGTAATCAGAATAATACTTTTTAAATTTCAAGTCTCACCGATGTTTCTATCAAAAGATTCAGCCCTTCGAAACGCTGATATATTTGTAGCATTTTGATCAGAATCGACGAAAAAGACGTACACGCAGAGTTATGTTGTTTGCTAAATTTAGCCAAACAGCTGTATCACGCAATATGCAAACGTATGCATAGCGTACGCATGTTATGCGCAACTTGCAGCTTGAGCCACGTTGTCTCAGCGATATTTGCCATTGACTAGTATGGCTAGCCGTTCGCACAATAGTACCCGGAAGTGATTACACGTTATAGTCAATGGCAAAATCGCGGAGACAACGTACACGTTGACTATACTAGCGGGCAATCACTTCCGGGTACTTTTGTGCGAACGGCTATCCATTCTTTCATTCACAATACGCGCAAATGTTACGCGATGTAACCATGGTTTGGACTGAGTGGAGCTCACGCCTCCCTAATTAGCTGATTCAAAATATGTGGGAAGGGTATTTTCAAACCGTTGTGCCAAATGATCCCTTGGGTCTAGCGAAAAAAAAGCACCTGGATATTATCCTTACGTCTAGCCCCACTTAAGCCGCGGGGGCGCGGCTTGGGGCGCGGCTTAGGAAAGTGGCAAATTTTGGAGCTAGGATCCAAACAACATTTCAATCACTGTTTTCACCAAGATATTTTTAGAATTCCGGGGGTGGCCCCCTATGGGGAATATGGAGAAAAACCTGCTCTTTCATATGACACCTCATTTATTGAGTTTCACCTTCACGATCACGAGGCATAGAGGTTTGAATTTCAAATATTTTCATAAAATCATTGACCAATTTTGCATGGTCGCGCAATGCACGTAGACCACATAGGGATGCGTGCAATCTCTATGGGGAGCATTTTAGCACACAATATCGGGTGCGCGATCAGACACCCTACTGATATTTGTAGATAAATTTGCTAAAGGTAGAGTTGTTAGAGCCAAAATGAAACATTTGCAAGCCTATGCCTATGCACACACACCATGCATGCTGATATAGGCAAGGCGCTGTGTGTATATAGTGGCTTCGATGACGAGAAAGGCCTATCCTTGGTTGATAGAGTAATTGTAACTTAGTGCTAAATAACAGTTTTTCACATCAATTTGATATGCTGATATTTGTAGATAAATTTGCTAAAGGTAGAGATGTTAGAGCTGAAATAAAAATTTGCAGGCCTATGCATGCTGATATAGGCAAGGCGCTGTGTGAATATAGTGGCTTCGATGACGAGAAAGGCCTATCCTTGATTGATAGAATAATTGTAACTTAGTGCTAAATAACAGTTTTTCACAGCAATTTGATAAGCTGATATTTGTAGATAAATTTGCTAAAGGTAGAGATGTTAGAGCTGAAATGAAACATTTGCAAGCCTATGCCTATGCACGCACACCATGCATGCTGATATAGGTAAGGCGCTGTGTGTACGTGTGTGAAGCCTAGAGCTTTGCACAGTTTTGAATTTTGCCGCGCATCTTTAGCATGCGTAATGCTTGTTAATGACAAGGTGAGCTCTAATTGGCTGTATGCAAATGAATTCATACTGGGGGTCCTGAGCTCAAGTGGGAAAAAAATTAAGCACCCTGGCCTGTGCGCCAGGTACCCTGATAGGCCCGATCGAGTATGTTCGTTACAATACACTGCAGTATACACAGTGCATTCAGAATCAGCATTCCATGAGCGCGGACATTTTGAACAAGTTTACCCACACCAGTTAAGGCCAGGGCTACATGTACATGTACGTAGAAATTCAGCTTACATTTACTTTTAGCGCATGCTCATAATATAATGTTCATCCAATCTCTCGGCTAATTAGTAATTGCAGCCCCATTTTCCGAAATTGGGGCCTACAAGGGCCCTTCTTATTTGCTATGGCTAGCTGCCAATCGCTCAATGTTATAAGATATTGATGCACTACAATTGAAAATTAGTGGTAAAAATAACCTAAAATTTGCAAATATTTTACTAGATCTAGAGCAATACACCTTGCTTCCTTTCCACATGTAACAGATGACTTTACGATCTGCATTCCAATATTTACCTCTGACATGTGTTGGTGACGCTAATGCTAATTTTAGGTTGTTTTTACCTCTGATTTTTAATTGTAGTGCATCATTGGGAGAAGGAGCGGTATATAGCAAACGTTAAAGCCAGCTACTTAGTACTTGGGTTGGAAGTGTGTGGGAAGGGGTAATTTCGGACGCATTTTAGAGTTTGTTTACCTGCCTCTCCGCACAGGTCTATGGGCGCCAGTTAAGGCTTGGTGATGTCAATATCATATTTTACGTTATCTCTCTCTCTCTCACTCTCTCTCTCTCTGGTATCCTTCCTCCGCTCAGGTCGGAGATCGTCGGCACTGTAAGTCTGCCGAAGTTACATAAATGGCTTTCTATAGGTCGTTAAGTAGATTTTGACAGGTTTGACAAAAACGCTGACCGCTCATGAGAGTGTTTCTATGTTGGTTCTGCCGGTAACTGCGGAGTACACGAGAATGGCTGATTTGGCTTTGCCAATTTGTTGCCGAATATACAAAAATAGTAATTAGTTGAGTGTGCATATGCCCGCACATGGAGCTGGGACTTCCCTGGTAAAGGAACAAGCTCAAAACAGAACAAAGACAGGCTATGTCTTTAGCATCTTTCAGGGCTTCCTTTAGAAATTTGACAAGAACTCAGTCCATTCTCCTGACTACAATTGAAGCACACTGTCCAAAACGTCAAGACCATCTCTTTCTTTGAAAGATCTTGTGAGAATTATGAATTATATCCAGGAAAGAATTACACGACAGTTCTTTTATGAACTAACACATTTCTCTAAGAAAGAATACCCAGTCCTTGTAAGGACTACACACATTGTGTACCAATTTAAGTTTTTCTCACTCATGTCAGAAATTGTTGTTGATGTTTTTTAGTGAACATGTTTGGGGCGAACAGGCTTTCTCAGCCATGGGTCCAAAACTCTGGAATAAGCCCCCTCTACAAGTACTTTACTTACTTTGATGTTGAAGCGTAAAGATAAACTTATTTGCCCCTCCAGGTAATGCTATCTCTCTGGTATGGACTGTACTGTTGTCAACAGAAACATTCAAATTACAACTGAAAACTTATTTCGTTGTAATTATTGCAATATTTTGATTTACTATGTCTAGGAGAATTGCAAATTTTGTTTTTTGGTTTACTGTTTTTTCTTTCTTATGTCTGTTAAATGTACATGTACTTTTCTCTAAGCGCCATGAGCACCGAAAGGTAGAACTGTGCGCTATACAAGTAGCCACTATTATTATTATTATTATAATAATATGACATTGTAGCCCCTTGAGTAGTACCTTATCAAAAAGTGCACATTAAAATACTTTATAATTATTATTATCATTGTTATTATTATTGTTTCTGTAGGATACCTCATTTAGCACAAGCCTAATCTTCCTCAAATAATTTACATATGAAGTTTTTTTTCTTCTTTCTATCCAGGTGATAATGTTGAGAGTGATATTGATATTTGGTGCCCTATGTGGATGCATCTATGCTCTGGATAATGGGTTAGCTAGAACCCCACCGATGGGATGGATGGCCTGGGAGAGATTCAGATGTAACATTGACTGCAAAAATGATCCAAAAAACTGCATCAGGTAAATAACAATAATGACGGTAATTCTTTAATGGGATAATAAATTACAGCATGGACGTCTATGGTTAAAAATGTATCAACATCATTGAAAGTTCCATTCAATATCCCAACTTCAACTGTCACAGTATTGAGATCTGTTTGAATGTTAGGTATCATAGATTAATAGTCAGTGAAGTCTCACACTGTTATCCCTCAGAGTCCTGCAATCACATCACTACGCAGCTTAGCTCGGTCGTAAGGTTCCACAAAATTGCTGTCAATACTTTAAGAGTCAACATAAGGCCTTAGTAAAAAAGATGTTGTATTGCCCTTTGCGACCGACCCTCAAATCTTGAAATCTACGGTCAACTTTTTACAATTTTTTTTTTTTTTTTTACCGTTTTTTAGAGAGAAAAAATATCAAAGCATTCCAAACTGAGAAATATCAGCCCAAAGAGGGGTAGAAAAAAAGGGAAAAAAGTTATTTAAAAAAAAAGATTTCCGACTGACCGACCCCTGTTTTGCTACCTAATGGGCAATTCATCATCTTTTTTTGTTAGGCCTAACAGCCTAATTGCATGAAGGATAATGTATTTACATCTATATTTATTTAATTTATCCTACTGTATTAAAGTGAGCAGCTGTTCATGGATATGGCAGACCGAATGGTGGAAGACGGTTACCGTGACGCTGGATATGAATACGTTAACATAGATGACTGTTGGAGTTCTAAGCAACGTGATGCTCAGGGTAGACTTCAAGCTGATCCGGATAGATTCCCCAATGGGATCAAAGCACTTGCTGACTATGTGAGTAATACTCTGACAATAATCATATATATCTGGGCCACGTCTTAAAAGGAGTTTTGATTGATCCAAATCAATCACAAGTTTGCAGTCTTATATCTCTTATGTACATAATTGCAGTTAATATCAATCGCAACTGAGTTGCGATTAATATCAACTCTTTTTAAGACGGGGCCAAGGTGTTTTTTCTGATTTGTTGATTGTTTGTGTGTTTTTAAATGCATATTGCTAGCAGCTCTGACACTCAGCTGTCCTAAAAATTTGTGATAGATGAATCGATTTAGCAGCTTAAGTGCACTTCATAGTCTTTTTAAAGAGAACAAATTATTCCTGTCTTGCAGGTTAGTCAACATGAACATTGAACATCATGTGACATTTTTCAAAAACAAATTATCTGCAAAACAAGACAAAAGAAGAAAAAAATGCTTTGATGCATTGGCTTTATCACTGTCTTTACCTTTTAGCACTGCTCCATATACAATGTATATGACCCAAATTTTCTCTAACTTGTTTGTATCAGTTTGAGACATTTCTCACTATTTATTGTTTGGATTATTACTTGGGCAACTCCCCCTTCCTAATTGCGTTATAACAGTAATCAGCTGATCAGTCTTTTTTGTACATAACAAATAGATTACAAGTTGGAACTTGAGCTTTGAGATAAAGTGAACAATATAACACAATGTGGTCTTGGCAGCGTTTCATGAAACTGTCATATGTACAAGTTCACCGACATCCCATAAAAACATTGGTATTAAGTTTGACTAACCCTGTAAGTTAGTACTATGTCGAATCACATGATTGAATCGGTGTTTTGGCTCCCGATATCAGCAGAATCGGGAGGGACATCTGATCAATATTTGTTTAGCAACTACCTCCAAAAAATTGCAAAAATTTGACAATTGTAAGCACTTTAAGACCTAAAATCACTCATACCTTGGATAATCCTCTCATTTTAAGTTTTTTAGTCCATGTTTAAAGCTATTTTCATGCCGTTAAAGTCGAATTGAAAAAGGATTGGAAGAAAAAAATAGGGCTAATTTTTTTCTTCAAGTTGAGAGCTATCAAATACTAAAAAAACATGAATAGGCACAGCTGAGATTGTTTTGTAATTTGGAGTTGTTGTAGACCATGTCCGTGGATATTGCAGTAAGTGCCTTTTCATCACTTTAAAATTAATAAAGATTAGTCTTAAAGAAGAGGGAATACGTGCAAGCAGCCATTTTATTAATTTCAACTCCAAATGACAAAATAATCCCAGCTCTGCATGTTTTTTTAGTATTTGATTGCCCAAAACTTGAACATTTCAGCCCCTTTTTTGTTCTCTTTTTTTCTTCTTCCTATAATTTTTCATTGATCGGCGATAGGAATTTGTCATCCGATTATGTAAATTGGGCTACAATCAGCCCCTGATCCGATTATCGGTTACAGGGTTAAGTTTAACACGCATTTCAATGGGATATCGGTGCAACGATGCCCTGGACTGGTTCCCATTTGTAAGGTACATTGTAATAAATAATTGCTATGTTGAGATTTTTATTTTAGCAATTCTAAATTAATGTACTTTTATATGGATAATAAATGCTATACTCAATACTTGTTATACAGTAGGCTTGCGGGTGCACCATGTGAGAGAGAGAGGGAGGATTGAGGAGTCCTGAAAAGGACTCTCGGTAATCTTTCTTGAGGGTTTGTAGTCCTGAAAAGGACTGTTGGTTATCTTTCTTAGCTTATACTTGTTGTGTTCATAACAGGTTCACAAGAGAGGTCTGAAGCTAGGTACATATGGTGACTATGGCAACCTGACCTGCGGTGGTTACCCTGGAAGCTTAGGTCATCTTGAAATTGATGCACAGACCTTTGCTGATTGGGGTATTGACATGTTCAAGATGGATGGATGTTATGCTGATCCTAAAACCATGGACAAAGGTATACATACTGTTATTAAGGGCTATACAATTATTATCTTGAGCTTCTTTTTTGGGGTTCAATTATTGAATAATACGGAAAGGGATGTTTTAAGGGTACTATGTCCCATTTGCAGGCCCAAAAAATGAAAAAGTTAAATTCCAACTGCCTTTGAAAGATAATACTAATTTAGAACTTCCCTAAAAAAGGTGGGGCTTGAAAATGTCTTCAAGTGGGAAAATAACGACTATTAGTTGTCAAATTGACTTTAGGGCTATAGAGCCCAAAAGTAATAGTCTTGATTATCAGACAATTGTACCGAATGGTCATACGTTTTATGCTGCGCAAAGATTCAATCAGTTTAATCTTGGCCATCACAAGAAGTGGGTTATTGATGTAGACAAATGCTCATGTACCCTTTACAACTCTTTTCATGTATGTTATTACCAAAGAAGAAAAAAAGCCAGTCAGTCACTCAATAGTGTCTGACAGTGAAGTCTAGCAAGTAAACGGGTTTCCTTGCATAATTTGAATATGAGGACACTGCTAACGTTTAAATTTCACTGATAGGACATACAGTATATGACATATTCATAATTCCTGCAAAGTTCTACAGAATTTGAGGTTGGCTGCAAAAGGGACATAGTACCTTTAAGAATTATTGCTATGTGACATCATATACATATACCATAACAGAATTGTCATTCATTAATGATCTCTACTTTCAAAGATTTACTTATTTCTCAATAATGATAATAATATCATGGGTTTATAAAGCACTCAATACTACAATAATGTCTCTGAGTTTCGTAACAGTCATCTTCATTTTTTATTGGATTTTTCTCAAACTTGCACCAATTTGTTTTCATGATCTATTTACTTGCACTCAGACCAACTTTTAATGAAGGCTTAACTCTCCTTTCATGACAACTGTTTCCCTTGCAGGTTACCCCCAGATGACAAAATACCTCAATCAGACCGGTAGACCAATCCTCTTCTCATGTAGCTGGCCAGATTATCAACGTGCAAGCGGCATAGACGTAAGAATTAAGATACAACAACATTCCATTGAAATGGCATCCAGACAACTAAACATTCAACAATTATCATGAAATAGTTACCCCAGTGCCCCCAAACCAACACATGTTTCTCTAAATAACCACTCATCCAATAAATATTGGGAACAAATCAATACTTTGTCTGTGGGCTTTATGTGTGAGAATCTCATGGAATCAAAACCCATGAAGAATTAAGATTCATGGAGAAGTCTCTGTCTTATACAGTTATGATGGCTGCCATCGTTATTATAAAGGAGAAAAATAATCAATTGCTATAGAATATTTTTGAGCAGTTAAAAGCTTGTGTGAATTTCGTCAAGGTATGACTAGTTGTGTAATTCTAATTTCCATTACTGGTATGCATATTTTTAAACCTGGAAATTATGGCAAATAAAATGAGGAAGAGTACCTTTTTTCAAATTGAGTTTTTGGTTTTTGTTACAGGGGATTTGTATTGCATTACAACATTTCTCCATTTCAGGGACAGCTGTGGTAATTCTATGATCTATGTTTATCATGTGCAGGTTAATTACAAACTTATTGCAGAGAATTGTAACATGTGGCGTAACTATGATGACATTCAGGATTCTTGGGATAGTGTACTAGGAATCATTGATTACTATGCTAAGGAACAAGATACACTAGCCCCAGTACAAGGACCAGGAAGCTTCAATGATCCAGACATGGTATGAAATCTAGTACATCACATTCTATCATATTACCTCTCTCTCTCTCTCTCTCTCTCTCTCTCTCTATCTCTCTCTCTATCTCTCTCTCTATCTCTTTTTCTCTCTCTTTTTCTCTCTTTTTCTCTGTCTCTTTCTTTCTGTCTCTCTTTCCCTCCTTCTCTCTCTCTCTCTCTCTCTCTCTCGTCTCTCGCTTTTCCTCCTTTCTAACTCTCTCTTTCTCTTATTCTGTATATGTATTTTCTATCTTCTTGCATCTAGCGAAATCTTATTCACTTTTTTTTTTATATTAAACTCCAAATCAAAGCAATGATTGAAAATGAAATTCCAGTTAAACGATGTCAGGACATTTTCTGATTCCCTTAATCTAATAGTTCATAAGCAGCTAGCAATCCTGAGATCTTGTGATTTTTATCTCCTCATGTGAAATACTAAACAAATAAGAGTTGTAAAATAATTTACATCCGACTCTTACCCAGCATGAAACTTTCCCATGCAATAGCCAGATGTAAAAATGGGATAAATTATCCATCATTTTCTGGGAAGTGTGCCCTGCACTTCTTAACATTCAGTGGATGTATGGTAGCCTTGATTTGATGTGCCCTACTTATGTTTACACTTGCACTAAAAGTTCACTAGAAATGATGGCACATGTATTTTTGTCAATGAGGAGAGTAATATTCTTCTTCTTCTTCCACTTCTTTTTCATCTTCCTCTTCTTCCTCTTTCTTCCCTTCTTCACCTTCTCCTACTTATCACTATTATATTATTCTCTTTACTCTTTATTTCTATTTTTCGTTTCTTCTCAAATTCACTCTCCTTGTACGTCTCTAGAATCTCATACTATACTACTCCATTTTCGCCTCCTTTAATACCTATTAAATCCAGACCTACTATATTGTGTTACTCAGTACGGGAGCCTATTCACATACAAGCTATGCTTTTTATTTAGGCTCCCCACATTTTCATTGTTCTACCCAGCCTGTGATATATACATATTTCAAAATTTCGTACTTATTTTCCGTACATTATATTTGATTTGAAATCTCTAATTTTTTCTTTTTTTTTTCTTGTGTGAAATCTATTCTTATAATAATATACACCTGTATAAAAAGAAAAGAATATAAACTGTTTTTCTATGTAAAATGTGGAATGAATAAAACTTTAAAAACTTCAAACTTCAATTATCATGGTATATTTAACAAGATTTGTTCAATTTCTTGTTTACCACCAGATCAAAAAACTATCTCTGATCCATATCAAGCAAACTTGATTCCAATATTTCACATTTTAAATGATGGTATTTGAAAAATATTTTTCTCCTTGTACTCTACTATACCTTTTACAATACTTTCAGATCATTGTGGGAGACTTTGGACTAAGCTATGAGCAGGCCAAGGCTCAGATTGCTATGTGGACCATCTTTGCTGCTCCTATGTTGATGTCTAATGATCTACGAACTATCAGACCAGAGTTCAGAGAGCTTCTTCTTAACAAAGAAGTTATTGCTATCAACCAAGACCCATCAGGACACTTTGGCAAGCGTGTCTTACAGGTCAGTCTTTGATTATTCAAACTCTATGTGCTACAACATTTGCTCCAGTGACAATTGCTCCGGGCTTTATTTTGTTAAAAGTATAGGTGTGGTATCGGGTCGGTACTTGATTTGGGGTTAAAGGTAAAGACCAGTTATGGTCACGCGATTGCATTGTGAAAGAAACGTTGTGGAATCGATCAGAAAAGGTTGATCATCTAGCATCTAGCATCTGCAAGGTTCTGGAATCATCAAAATGATAAGAAATTTGGCCCATTCTTCGTAAAGTTACAAGCACTATACACAGAAAGATGTATATGGGACTACCCTATATCTCTCACAGACCATGAGAGAAACAAATTTACCAAATATATGAATTAGTAGGCGGTTTCCCGGCAAATTTTTTATCATCATGTATTAGTCAAAACATATTCTTTCACATGATTGGTAATGAGAGCTTCCATTTCATTTTTTGAAATTGGGGTGTTTCCAATACTGGTCTTTACCTTTAAGTTTAAGGTTAGGATTAGGTTTATTGTTGGGTCCAGGGTTGGAGGAAATTACTTGGAGGCGATCGTCACATGAGCAATTGTTGTACAGCCCTATGTAATGCATACATTTGAAAATATTAATCAAGAGTACAAAGAACTTTTGAATGTTGCACAGATAATTCCAAAGTGTAAAAGCAGCAAGCAAAGCAAAAAGAACAGCATTTAGATTACATATATTAACCTATTATACATTACGCAATTATTGAATTTATGGTAATGACATTTTTTCTTATTTGCACATATACTAAATAGGAAGGGGAAAGGGTTAAAATAGGAACAGTTTATACAAAGCAAAAATAATATATTAGAAACTTTCCCCTTTTTCACACAATTTTATCATTTTACCTGCACTAGATTTTTTTTTGTAATTCCTACATCATTAATGATAAATGGTTTTAGATATGAAAAGGAAATAAATAAATTATGTTATGATGAGAACTACAAATCACTTAGAGACTAAGTAGTATATCTTATGTCATCTAGATTCCTAATCAGGGGTAGACATTCATCTTGCTGTCATTAAAAAATATCATCAATGATTCAAGAGGAACTAAAAGATTGTCGCTTCATGCTCATTAAGAATTAGCAACCATAATCTCTAAAGTTCTCATTTCCTAGCATAAGGTTGCCTTCTAATCTGCCCTACACTGTACACATCCCGTACCATATATAGCAAGCTCCTTGTTATGTTGCCTGTAATACTCACGCTTCACCTGTCTGGCTCATGTTCACTATATGATCATGCACACTTAGTGTTCTTCTGCTCAATATTTAATCCATTTTACACTGAGTTCACAAAGAGGCCAGTATGACCTATGACATATTTTTCCTCTCACAATTTCACTCATGGATCGTGCTCTGTGTCTCTATGTATGCAAATTCAGCATTACAATTTAAAAAATCAATCCTTGGCAAAGGATGATTTTAAATTCAAAACCAAGCTTTGATAAAACCCTAATTACTCAAGGTCCTAGTAAACACGATCAGAGTACAATATATAAAGATACCGGTAGATTGGTGTTTATCTTTGTTATGTGTTCTGATTCAATCTGCGCTTGCACATATTTTGTATCTAAAACCTATTTACTGTTGCACATATTTATAATAGATAAATTTCCTATAGCTTTGCACATTGGCTTTTTGTGTCAGAACAATCAAGGTGATCTTTTTAAAGCTAGTATTGAGTACTCTATTAACATACTGCTGCTAGGTGATAAAGACGGGTTTTTTAATGGGAAATTAATCTTGTTATAAAATAAGTAACTTAGAGGCATTTTAACTAAATAAACTGACACTGCTACACTTGGTTCAATATAATGTCAATTTTTGTTGTTGTTCTTCTTCTTAAAACAAGAGTTGTACTGAAGTTAATCTGTTATTTGTATTTTATATGTAATTACATGTATCACTTTTAAGGAATATTAATCTCCTGGAACAAATTTTAACAAATATAGAATAATACTATTTTCAGGATGCAATATTCAAGAGCTTTGTAAATATTGTATTTATACATGTAAGTAAGGAATGCAAGTATTTTCATGCACTTACATGATATGATGTCCAATGGTGTAAGAAAAATAATTAATGAATATACATCACTTTAAGGGAATATTATGAATGAGAGTTACTTAGTGCTATGTTCAACCAAACAACCCCCATCCAGGACCCAAAGATTGACGTTGAGATTTGGACGAGACAGCTACAGAATGATGAGTATCTGATAGCCATCATGAGCCGATACATCAAACTACCACTCAATGTGAACACCACTCTAGCTGATCTTCAACTACCTACCAGGGATACTGGATATATTGTTAGTGGTATAAGGGCTTTAGGAAGTAATATCATGCAGCATTTACAGATGAAAGATAGACTTCAACAGAAAGTTAATCCGAGTGGAGTAGCTGTTATGAAGGCCATTCCATTTCCATAGCCAAGTAGATCAATTGTGCCTTGGTAGTATAGGAGAGATGATATTCAACAGTCGAAGGCATATGATGAAAAAGAAATCCATAGTGTCTTGAACTAAGGATAAACACAAATAGCAAGCACCATATGAAAATTTTCTGTCTAAAAAATAAAGAATAATTTACAGGTATATACAGGCATATGCCCAAAAGGATTTGTTTACATTCAAAATGGACAATTCAATCACTCTAGTTTATTGGAAGATGTTTATTAGTACATTGAATAAGGATTGGGAAAGCATAGCATCATGGTAAATGAACAAAACTCAAATGTGTTTTCTTGCTATCAGTCATAATAACAGTCTTTGGATTTGTTTAAATATATGATCAGACATTGAAGAAATGTATATTTTTATTCAGTCATTGTGTATAGTAAAATAAAAGACATATCTATTATAGAAAGATGTGGTCTTATTACTGATATATATGTATATGTTGTTATTTAACTGCATTGCAAATTTTAATCATTATTATGAAAGTGTCAAAAGGCTTATGTTAAGAGTAACATTTATTTCATCGATACATTTGATTTGTGGGCCTAATTACTTCAATACCTGAGTGCCTTGTAGTTTTGACGTTCTTACGGAGAGAACTTTGTCAAATTATTTTAGCATTAATGTGCAATGTTATTATTGAAATAGTCAAAGGAAAGGAAATACTAGTGAAATATCTGCTGACATTTTTCCTTGTCTTTATAAAGAGGCTTTCTTTTTTAACCTATACCAGTTGGAACTTGGAAACATGGAATGAAGAATAAAATATAAATATCTAGCTTCATCAGAAAAAATGTATGTACAGTATGTATTCATGAAAATCGTGTGCCAAGCACAAAATTGTATGTATTTTTATTAAGAATATTGGATATCCTGCAATGAAAAAAATCAAAGAAGTACAGTAAAATTATTAAATGTGTTTTTTATTTGTTCATTGAAAGTATTTTGTAGAAAGATAGAAATCTTAGTAGTTAAGAGACCATGAAAATAATGTATTTTGTTTGTGTAATGTGAAGAAGTAAAAGTTGCATTTAAAAAATGAGTATGATTTAATATATTGGGCAAGTCTAAAAAGTTTTCAGATTTAAAGAAATATACATATACTTAATCAATTAAATGTTTTCTATTTAGCACTAATCTTTGAGAAGTTTGAGGTTAGTACAAATGATATTTGAATTATAACTAAAGTGAAAGCAAACAGTTATAAAAACATTTTTAAACTGCAACACCAGCAATTATATACAATTATAAGCCAAGCTGATTTTGTTAGCCAATTCAAAACTTTGTTAGTAACATTTTTCTTTTCCTGAAGCTTACATGTTTAGCCAATATTAAGACCTCATTTCAAGGGTGCTTGACAAGATTTGGTTATTATCTACTGATTGTCTTTTTGTTTATTTCATTTTTATGAGTTTTAGTAGTAGTTGTATAGTAGTATGACTAGTAGTAGTAGTAGTAGTAGTAGTAGTAGTAGTAGTAGTAGTAGTAGTAGTAGTAGTAGTAGTAGTAGTAGTAGTAGTAGTAGTAGAAGTAGTAGTAGTAGTAGTAGTAGGTATCATTCAGACTAAATTTTTTTATTGTTGAAATAATGATTACTTTTACAAATGAATTTTATCTGCCAAACAAATTTGATAGAAATAAAGAAAGTTGAGCTAGTTTTCCCAGTCATACATCATGCACTGCAAGACCATGTTTTTCATTCACTTGTCTTAGTTTCTTTACATTTTACGGGTCCAAACACTCATTTTCTGTCAACATCAATTTCATTACCTGAACTCAAGGTTTATTATATTTGGTATATTCTTTGCACCATGTTGAGAAAAAGTGGTCTCTTTTTACTTAACCTTGAACAAAAATTAATCAGTTTCTCAAAAAGATCTCTCTTGAAAAAAAAAATCCCCTGATCAAATCTGCAAAAAACCTGAAAAGGAGCTCTTTCGAATTCAAATCATCTCCATACCATATAAGCAATACATTTTCAATTCATGTGAGTAATGTTACATTCTATTTTGTCTCGTCATTTAATCATGTGTCTCTTTCATTCCAATTTGTTTTTCCTATTGGATTTTTTAGATACAGTTTAAACTACATTAAATACATTCATTTGATTATGCGTACAAGTACGAGAAGGGATTGTGTTTATTGAAAGAGCTTGTTTAGTGATCATTCATAAAGATGATGTCATTGGTGATTATGATGGTGATATTGATAATGATGGTGATGATGGTAATAAGCATGGAAATGAAGATGGGGGGTTAGCAAACATGAATCATATTTGAAAATAGAAGTGTCGAGGTCGAGTGGGTTAAGCACTAAACTTGTAATTCAAGGGTCGTGTGTTTGATCCCCAATACAGCATTAATTTCCTTTGGCAAGGCTTTAATCTACATTTGACACTCAATTACCGAGAGAGACATTGGGACCGGGTAGGATTACGAGAGCATTTGTGTTAGTAATTGTCTATGCAGTCACGATGACCATATGGCAGGAATAATGGGAGTGGAGATGTGGCACATTATGCGTGAATGAATACGATGACCGGGCTAATAATATCTGTGAAGCGCTTCGAGACGGTATTCTGTATCAAGCGCTATATACATTATAAATCTTGATTATTATCACTATTTATTGTAGAAAAGTAAAACTTGTAGTGTTGACATTCAAGAAATGTCAAACTTTCCAACTTTCTTTTTATTTTCTTCTTTGTACTCTTGGTTCCCATTATGAACTCCGATATCTCAACCTCGTTTCTTTTCTTTTCGCTTTTTTCTTCTCTCTTCCTAATTCTGTTGGCAATCTTATTTTTATGCCTCCGCCACCGAAGGTGATGCTGGAGATATGATGTTTTTCGGGCTGTCCGTCCATTCGTCTGTCCCGGATTTAAAGTATTTTAAGTATGTGTGAGCATGCAGGGGTGAACTGATTCGGTTTTGGGTGTAAGAGGTCAAAGGTTTCATAGTCTTATTTATAAGTGTTAAAGATATAGACCAGTTTTGGAAACGCCCCCCCCCCCCTCTCAAAAAATGAAATGGAAGCTCTTATTACCAATCATGCGAAATAATATGTTTCGACTAATACGTGATGATACCAATTTTGCCGGGAAACTGCCTACTAATTGATATATTTGGTACATTATTATATCTTTCCCATATACATCTTTCTGTGTACAGTGCTTGTAACTTTACCAAGACTGGGCCAAATTTCTTATCATTTTGATGATTCCAGAACCTTGCAGTACACAAAAATACTTATATGCTAGATGATCAACCTTTTCTGATCGATTCCACAACGTTTCTTTCATAATGCAATCGCCATGACCAGAAGTGGTCTATACCTTTAAATACTACCTGAAAATACCTCTTTACCGTTGGATGATGTTTGTATGAGCATGAAAATGATTACATTTTTGGTGAAAGAGGTCGAAGTTGAAATGCCAAAGAGTCATAAAAGTGTTAAAAAATACCACACAAAATATAGTTACTGTGATAACAAGCATGATAAAAAAAACATTGATGCAATTCAAACCAAACGTGGACGAAATATGTATGAGCATGCAAGAATCCCAGAATGACCTTATTAGAATTTGAATATAGATGTACAAAGTCATGTAAATTTCAATATATTTTGCATTCTCTCTTTTTCCTCCTTTCTCCTCCTTTTCTCCCCTTTCACTTGTCACGAATGTATTAATCTTTCCGATGTGAACACATTCCCTGGTAAAATCAGGAAGGAAAAATAGAAATATGGACTCGAAACCTGAGTTTCGTAGGTGAATACGCAACGGTCATACTCAATCGTGATACAAGTATTCCGAGGAACTACACGACTAGTGTGAAGAACTTTGGCTACTCTCCCGGTATCTACGACATTGAGAACTTGATAACAGGAGATGATTACGGGGATTTTGATACGGACATGGATTTTTCTATCATAGTCAATCCGTCTGGTGCTGTACTGCTGAACGCCATTCCTAGCGAGTCTCACATGATAGACCTAGCAGAAGACATCAGTTAAAGATTGATTTTAATAATTATGCTCTTATCGGAGACAGAATGATGAACCAACATGCCACTCCAAAATCGATCTCGATCATGCATGAAGCTAACCGATCGCACCTCAATTAGTTGGAGTCGGCGAGAAACAATGGACGATCTAGATGGAGATGAATTATTTTAATCACAATTTAGAGGGCATTGAATATTTTCATTCAGGTGTTTCGTGCTGGCGTGATCATAATATTTTCGCATTATAAGTCATCTAAAACCTCGTACCTGTCTCTTATCGCCCCAATACCCCTTCCCTCTTTATCTATTAGCACATTTACCAGAACACTAATTTCCTATTATCTTGCCCTAAGGACCTGCTCTATATATTCTATACATTCGGCTTCCCGCAAGGACGTTACTGCCATTGGCAAAAAACCTTCTTGCGGGAAGCCGATGATTTCGTTTCTTTCTTTTTTATCTGGAAATAATTCATTTTTAATGTGATTAATTTCATTGCGAGTACTTTGGTCAGTGTATCCTCATATCGTATGTGAAGCCCTCTTTCTGTGCGAGACTCCTCCCCCCCCCCCCCCCCCCGTAATTCAAAGTTGACCAATGAAGAGTGATGTGGTATTTTAGTCAATTTTTACATCTTGCGTTCTTCAAATGAAAAATTGGCGGTAATGCAAATGAAAAAAATTACGTCAGTTTCCAGCCGACATTTTGCCCTTATGCTTATTGCTTGTTGATAAATGTTCAGTGTTCATTGTATTGTATTCTCTTGCCCAATACAAGCTATCAATGAGATTGGTCCTTACATTTCCAGGTCCCGTTTCTGTATTCTTATCTTTATTGAGCTTTTATTCATGAAACCTTTCCTATGATCAATCTTTCCTTGTTTCGCTTCATATGTCTATTGACATCCATAATTCATTCGGCCATATCCTTGCAGGACGGTAATATTGAAGCATGGACTCGGAACATTACCTTAGGATCATACGCGACCGTCATCTTGAATCGAGGCACCGATGGTTCTCCAAGAAATGTTACTACTACAGGCGCGAAGCTAGGCTTCCACACTTGGATCTACATGGTTGTAGATGTATTTGAAGATAAGAGAGTTGGCCAGTTCGACAGCGATATGGAGTTTTCCGTTTTGGTTAATCCTTCAAGTGCCGTACTGTTGTACTCGTATCCATGTTCATAACCAACCAGAAACGTCTGTCATCAAATATCGTTTTCCAAATATTCCCTATGGAAACCAAAATGCAATAAATGTAATGTACAAATAAACGCTCGAATGTGTTTTTCCTGAGCAAGAAATTTCATTTCTTACTTCTCGATTGAATAAAATGGACACTCGATCATACCAACTTCTCATATTTCAAGATCACCTATTCTTGCTCATTATGTGCATTAATAACCATTCAACTCACAAAAAATATTACTTTTCAAAAACTTTAAAATGTGTGCAATGGTGGCATTTGAACGATTACGAAATACATGTACATGATTGATCCATTGTATGTTGCATGTATTAAGACAATTTTAAAATAAATTCATTTTTCATCCGTGTATTTTACTATAAAATATCACGCATAATGCTGTACAACTTTCACTTTGTCGGAGTTTTTACGTGTATTTGGTTGTAAAGAGGTGTCACACATGCGGTAGCACATTAAAACTCTTAGGGGAACATAATTACATTTTGTCTGTCTTCAGTTTCAGCTTATTTCATCAAGACTAATCAATAATCCTATGCTCCTCTAAGCTTCATTCATGTGCCACCCGACATTCAAATAACTTTCTCAAGTTGAGGAACCATTAAAGTAGTTGAATTCTTTCAAACTAGACCTTAGACGTTCCCACGTTTTGGGTAGTACACTCGTTTTAGATCACTTCAATTAATAAACGGGTCCCTCCTATCCCACCTCTGCCACCACCACCTCCGTCACCCTTCATCTTATCGATCTTCTTTTAGATCAATGGAGTTGATATCTGGAGAAAGAATCTAACAAACTGGGATGAGTACAGCGTTCTATTCTTCAACCCAAGTCCATATAACAAGACCGTTTCTCTCCAACTGGATCAAATTGGTTTTACGTATATGCTTGGATACATGCTTCATGATGTCTTTAACCATCGGGATATCGGTCATCGAGAGATATTATTTCCATATGACTACCAAGTACCTGCAAAAGGAGTTTTGCTAACCTACGCATATCCAAGTGAATGATAAAATAAATGCTACGTCTAGAAAGTAATACGCATTAGTAAACATTATGCGTATGTTGCTTTGATTATGTATTATTCTTTCGAATGTTATGAGGTTTAAAACAAATGCTTTATTTGTAGAACATTTAATTCTACGTGCATTCCCCTGGAGATTGATTTTTAATCTTTCAAATAAGAACATGTGAACCCGCATCCGATATTAATTAGATTCACCACGATAATTTTACTAAAAATCTGGTTTTCCTTTTGTTATCATGAACTGTACAAATAAAAGTTCTAATATCTTCCGTGTTTTGTTTTTTCTTCTGACATGTCTGAATTTCCTCCTAACTCACTTACCTCTACTACTCATTTCATTTCTTGTAAGTCATGATATTATGCTTAACGACTCATTTCTAATTAATCATAGTGCTTGCCGAAATGCAGCCGCTTTGCATGATGACAGGTTTACTCCGATTATGTTTTTTTTATCAACGATAAAGTTGTGAACTTTAATTTGAATACATTCTCGCGGTGGTCTCTGTTTTAAATTAATGTTATCGATCACTATGCAAAATGGACTAATAGACCAAAAACATACGATGACAAAGTATGCTTTTGTTTTGTTCATCTTAATCTCAGACTTGTAAATACCTAAGTGAATGTTTTTAACAAAAATCACTGCTTCTGCAAAAATGTAATATAATAACATAGCGCTAACCATGTTAACTTGTTCACTTTCTGCCACTCGAAAATACAAAAAGCAAATAGATAACTGTCATCTGCTCTTGCAAATTATTCAGATTCAGATTATTATTGTTATGACTTGCAGGATCGCAAACACTATCAAGAGATCAATCTAAGACCATTTCAAGCCGTGTGTGTAACTTTTTGAAATACATTGTATGTAAACATGACAATGACACATTCCATATAAAAGGAAACAAAATTTCTTCAGGTTAAATGAAAGGGTATGGAAATTGATCTAAAGTTGCTTTTTTTTTAATTCTATGAGTCTTTGAGATCGCCTTGAATGTCTTTTCCTCTGAATGCAAGCATTCATTAATTAAACCGTCCATCAAGCTTTCAATTAAACTTACAGTTTTGTATATACTTCTTTTCAACTAAAATCTGCCTACTTAACATTTCTAAATGACAGAATCCGAAACGAGGCGAAATCTAAGTCAGTAAATGGGTAAAACGATCGTCTTAGGTGTGAGTACTTTGAAAGTATAAGGGTTATTTTAAAATATTTTTGTTTTGCCCTTCACATGACAATTACTATTCAATTATAACATTCATGCGATTTTTGCATTAATTGTGCACGCTGTATAGGTGACGTCAAGTATTGATGCCTATGTTCGTGAGATGGACGGTTTCACTTGGCCAACTGTTTTTCTCAACCGCGGTGCAGGAGGATATCCGGTCAATATAACCGTTTCTTTCTCGGATCTTGGTCTCCCTGTGCACAATGTCCAGGGCTTCGATGTTCTTGACCTGTTTACAGGGGCATACTCTGGATACCTACCTCCCGATGCTTCATATAGTTACCGTGTACCACCATCGGGGGTTACCTTTGTCAAAATAGGAACCGCAGAATAAGAGCCATAATCGAGATACCGCAGTTAAATGATATGCCTTGGCATGGTTCACATCTCTCAGCTCTTCTACATTTTAGCTTATCAATGTTGTTTAAAAAGAAATAAAATCAGAAAATGCATTATGATCGATATTTTGGAAATAATCCCATTTATTTTAGTCATTTTCCCAGCGCCAGTCCTGGCAGTATGATTACAGTGTGATATATGGATATAGGAAATTCCAAATTGATGTAGATCACAACTAGAATTCGTCGCCGTTTTCACGAAGTGACGGTAGTGAGAAAAAAAAATTGCATTCACTTTGCGTGACGATTTTCCTCACTACCGTCACTTCGTGAAAACAAGGACGAATTGTTTTTTTTTAGACTTCATTGACGTAACTCAAACTCCAACTCAAACTCAAACAAAACAACGAACAAACAAAAAAATCATTATTTTTTTTACATATTTTCCACTGATATGTGAATTGCATGTTTTTATGACTGCCTCGTCAGTCTGTCGAATTAACGACATGTGGCTCCAAAAGTGTTTTTAACTTTTCATGAGTATGCTGCAAATCGTGCACTATTTCGCCCTCACCACAATATTTCTTGGCACGTATAAAATGCCATAATTTCATCTTTTTTCTTAGAAAATTGATATTTGTTTTAAGTCTGTATAATGGCTTCACGTGTGATTCAATCGCAACTCTATTAAATATAATGTCCCCCATTCTCATTAGGAAGGAACACCGCCATAATTATGTTCAAAATCTCCTAAAAAGTACATCACCAATACAACTCAAAACCTGTTGTTCATTCAAAGAAAATACAATTTCATGTAAATGTTTATGCCATTCTAATACTTCTATCCTTTATTTTTTATACGAAGAATATAATTTCGTATTTCAAAAAGTATCAGCAAGCGCCGTTGTTTCTGTAAATTTTCTAAATATAGAGACTGAAATCTTTTGAAAACCAGTTGTCACATTTTTGTTGTTTAGCTAAATTTGTCAATAGTATCAAAATTGTTAAAATATTGTATTGAATTTATATCCTTTATTGTTGAATGAATCGAATGGAGTGACGGTTTATAATGAATAGCGTAATTCAATACAAGTCGTCTATTGTCTTGTAAATTTCTGCCTATATTCTGTAGCTGTTATGGTGATGATATCGACGACGATGATGATGGTGATGATGATGACAATGTTGGTTTAATTTTTATTATTGTCGGTTTGTTATATTTTCTCAATTTTTCAATTGTTATTCATACATTAAAAATTTCATGGATATATTTGTGTACTTCCCCGTGCCTGTTCCTCTGTTAAACATTGTATGATATTGTCCATACATACATCATCGAGTCTGTGTATCATGCACGCAATCTCTCTCTCTCTCTCACTCTTTCTCTCCCCTCCCCCTCTATCTCTCTCTCTCTCATACCCACACACACACCCACACACTCTTTCTCTCTCTCTCTCTCTCTCTCTCTCTCTCTCAAACACACACAAAATATCCACGCAATCTCTCTCTCTCTCTTTCTCTCTCTTTCTCACAAACATGCCCACACGCCAATTCTCTCTCTCTCTCTCTCTCTCTCTCTCTCTCTCTCTCTTCTCTCTCTCTCTCTCTCACACACACACACACACGCACACATATCCACACAATCTCTCTCTCTCTTCCTTCCATTTGTCAAATATCGATCAACTTAATACATTCCATTAAAAAAATGGAATATATAATGATGGTTAGAAATGACACATAATGCTATTTTATTTATATCGCCTGTCATTTTCATCCTCAAAACTTCCCCATCGAAAGAAAACACATGAATTTCATAATTGAATTTTACAAGCATGGATGATAATGAAGTTGCATTAAATGCTTATTTGATCTGTAGGTGGAGTCAAACATTGAAGCTTATGTAAGGAACATGGACACCTGTTGGGTAGCCGCTTTCCTCAATCGTGGTGACCATGGTAACGCAGTAAACATCACAGTCTCATTCAAGTCTCTAGGATTACCTGTTCATGGTGTAGAAGGTTTTGACGTGTTTGACCTGTTTACTGGTGCATACTCAGGCTACTTGACTCCAGACTCTTCATACACCTATAGTGTACCACCCACAGGGGTTGTACTCGTTAGGATTGGTCAAGCAGAATAAATAAGCGTAACCTAATTATGGGTGTAGATAGATTCAAACTCATTAGGGAAATTAATAGACAATTCTTCAAAAAAGGGTATCACTTGAAGGGGGTCATGATATTTTGTACTTCCTTTGGATTTTTGTCTCGCTTTGGAAGCCATGATAAAACGTTTTGTATAACAGAGGAAATAGGTTTGGTTTTCAAAGGGGAGGTTCCGTTACCATCATCGGATCATTGATAACATTGTCCATACGAATTTCCCTTACATTTAAAAGAATCAAGTACATTGCATACAGGGCCATCTGATGGGCTACATGTCGTATCAGGACTATAAACCCTGGACAATCACCCCCCCCCCCCACACACACACACACAAACACACACACAAACACACAAACACACACACACCCTGAACCCCCCCCCCGTTCATTAAAGGGGAAGTGCACGTCGATAATAAGTCGGTTTTAATAAAAACAGTTTTTTGGAGGCAATAATTGTCCACGAGGGTAATTCTCCTAGGGGGTAACTGTCCCGCTAGTAACTGGCGAGGGGAGGGAGTAATTGTCCACGGGGGGAATTCTCCTAGGGGGTAACTGTCCCGCTGGTAACTGTCCGGGGGAGGGAGTGATTGTCCACGGGGGTAATTCTTCAGGGGGTAACTGTCCCGCTGGTAACTGGCCGGGGGAGGGAGTAATTGTCCACGGGGGTAATTCTTCAGGGGGTAACTGTCCCGCTGGTAACTGGCCGGGGGAGGGAGTAATTGTCCACGGGGGTAATTCTTCAGGGGGTAACTGTCCCGCTGGTAACTGGCCGGGGGAGGGAGTCATTTCTGTTTCGGTTGCGTCGGTAGATTCAGGTTTAACTGTACTTTCATTGTCCACGGGGGTAATTCTTTAGGGGTAATTGCCATAGATTCGTTATATGCATATATTGATGGATGGGGTGTTTACCATTCCTCATAAAAACTTATCACATGACCAAGGAGAAATGCTTTTTGGCTAATACATTTCTTCATGTTCATTAAAAAAACTTTAAACGTAAATTTAATATCCAGTTTAATTTCTTTACCCATTTCCGAAAAATAAAAAAATGTTCCTGCCATTCTTTTCTCTTTTTTTACCTTATAGCACGCGGTACTTGTAATGCATTATTCCCATGGCACTTATCGTAACCTATTGAATCCGTTTTAGTTAAGATTTATCAGAAAATGAATTTCTTGTTGTTAGTATAACCACAGGTTTCTACTTCTATTTCCTTTTCTGAAATGCAGTCACAAAACAGTGTACATTCTTTTTTCTATGTATTCTTTTTCCGTTCGCCGTTATGACAAAAGGAATAATAAATGAAGCGAATTTAATTAACTGATAGTGAAAAGCGTGTTTATGAGTTATTACTTTCATAAAATCTTTTATCATGGGGGGAATCTTTCATGAAAGTGCAGAAGAGATACATGTTGGTCTTATTTTGATATGCTGTAACCAAATGCTGTCTTTAGTATCCTTGTTCAAGGCATCTCAAATTATCTTGAGGACTTTGGTGGAATTTGGCATTGTTTAATTGTACCTCCGTAGTAGATTCTGCGTCTCTGACTTCTCTTACCACTCGACTTTCGGCTTTATCGCAGCGCTGCGCTGGAATCTTCTGTATGTTCGCATGGTATCCTTTATTGAGAGAAAAACAAAAAAGGCGTATAAGGAAAGTACCGCTCCCCCCCCCCCCCCCCCCGAGGACAACCACCCCTCCCCCCCCCCCCCCCGTCCCCCCGAGTTCATTCACCCCAGGAAAAATACCCCCTTGGACAATTTCCCCCCACCCAGGAAAATTACTCCCTAGGACAATAACCCCTCCCCCCGGAAATTACCCCCTGTTTATTAAAGGGGAAGTCCACACTGAAAATAAGTTGGTTTTAATTAAAACAGAACTTTTTTCGGGGCGGGTAATTTTCCGGGGAGTAATTGTCCTCAGGGAGTAATTTTCCGGAGGTTAATTTTCTGGGGGGTAATTGTCCAGCTGGTAATTGGCCGGGGTTGATTGTCCTGGGTGTAAATGTCCTAGAACAAAAAAAAAAAGGGTAACCAGATGGAAAGTATAAATGAAGGAATAAATTGATATTTCAACAAATAGATTAATCAATCATTAATGTATTGATATATTGACTGAACTTTTATTGAACATTGAAAAGAATTCTGGAATGAAAACGTAGATAGCCTGACGACGTAAAAAAAACTTCCGTGCGGTAAAGGTATAGACCAGTTTTGGAAACGCTCCCCTCTCAAAAAAATGAAATGGAAGCTCTTATTACCAATCATGTGAAAAATATATGTTTTGACTAATACATGATGATAAAAATTATGCCGGGAAACTTCCTACTAATTGATATATTTGGTAAATTATCATTTCTATCCGTCCTAGATAGATATAGATTAGTCCCATATACATCTTTCTGTGTACAGTGCTTGTTACTTTACCAAGACTGGGCCATATTTCTTATCATTTTGATGATTCCAGAACCTTGCAGTACACACCAATACTTGTGCTAGATGATCAACCTTTTCTGATGGATTCCTCAACGTTTCTTTCACAATGCTATCGTTTGACAA